GGGGGGGGGGGGGGGGGGGGGTTGATCTTGACTTCGATTTCTTTGCATCGGCCCCTGTTGAGTCGAATGCGTGATGTTGTCGAGATGAGAAGTAGACTACAGCATGACAAGATCCTCACCGGCTGCTCTAATAGTACATACATTTTCCCGTCATCATGTCCACTCCGACGCCTGTTCTAAGAGTCTCCAAAAAAAAGTAAACTAAACTACAAGAATGCGAGTACGTTAAAATCAACATCTCCTTTTATACTCCCTGCATACAGCCCTTCATACAGCAGCAGAATAAACAGCCGTACATCCCCTCCCACATTCCACCTTTTGTTCCAAATCCACCGTTCGCCCACCAACCTTGACCCTATTCCTCGGTGTAATCTGAAACCTGTGCATTTCCTTTTCTCTCCTCTGCCCCACGCCGCCAGCAGCAGTAGTCACACTAGCCGCGCGCTCATTCTCCGCCGCTTGATCGAGGGGCTGAATGTAGGCGGGCGTAGCCAGATTACTGCGTTTACCGGTGCCAATCTGATAGTATTCGTTGTTGCCCCAGAACAAAATGTCGCGTCCCCAGTTGGTGTCGTTTTCGGTGAGGGAGCGGGATTTGCCGGAGACGGCGACGCTGGCGACGTTGTCAAGAATGGCAGCGGCGTGGGTTGCGCCTACGGAGATGGTGTTGAGGCGGATGGGGATGGCGGTGTGCTTGGCCTCGTCCCATTCGAAGAGGCCGGAAAAGGTGGGGATCTTGGTGGGATCGGGTTGAGCGTGGATCCAGCGGCCTACGCCTAGTTGGCCGGTGAGGCCGAAGCCAAAGGACCAGGTGTCTGCTGTTATGCGGCCGGTGTCGGGCTTTGTGGATTCAGTGGCGAGGTAAGACGTGTTTCCACCGGCGAAGACGTTGGTCACTTTCCCTTGTGCGCCGGTGTAGAAACGCTGTGTGGGAAGGAGTGAAGGTGCGTCGACATAGGGGGCCTCGGCGTTGAAAGGAAAGCCGAGTTGCCCAGAGGTGTTGTCACCGAATGTGAAGGCGCGTCCGGCGGTGTCACAGACGAGGCTGTGGTAGTCGCCAGTTGCGATCTTGCTGATGGGGAAGCCCTTGAGTGTGGTGATTTCGTGAGGGATATCGAATGCGCCGGGAGGTCGGGTTGCCCATGTCAGACCTGGGATCCCGAGTTGGCCTTTGCTGGGGAAGTCTTGGGAGCCGGAAGCAAAGGAGAAAACGCGGCCGGTCGAGGTGAGCATGAGAGCATGCTCGAGGCCAGAGGATATGGCCGTCACCTTCTCGCTCCAGCCTAGATTCTCAGGTGTGCGGATGCGGTACGAGAGGTGATTTGAGCCGCCCCAAAATGGTATCCATGACTTTGATTCGGGTTTTGGGCCCTCATTTTGTTCTGTTTGCGAGACGGGTATCGAGTACACCTGGCCGCTTGAGCTAAGCGCAATGATGCGGTCTTTGGAAATGGCCAGCGACTTCAAATTCTGCCCTCTCAGTGTCTTGGTAGGCTCATTGACGTCTTGTGAGAATGCGAGACCCCACTGGAGTAAATCTCCCTTTTCGTCAATGGCGGCGCCAAAGTTGCGATCCAGCTTGATATCCCGCAGCAGCTTGCCGTCGAACCAGTGTATCCGTCGTGGAGTCTTGATGTACTTTTCATCCGAGTCGGGCGCAACTGCCTTGCCAGCATTGGATCCCCAGGCATAAACACCTGGATTCTCCCAACTTTTGATGACCTGCAAGTGCTGTGAACTGATGATGTTTCTGTTGTCATCGCTCGACGTGGGCTGCCGTCGGGGTGTTTCAAAGGTGAGTTGGACCTCGTCTTTTTCGGGTTCCTCGGCATGGGCTTCGCGTATAATCGTTTCACCGTTGTTGCACCACTGCAGTGCGCTGGCTGTCGCCCAGAGGGCCGTGACTGTGGCGACTGATCGGACAAAATGCTGTTGTCGGCGCTGGGCATATGGGTGTGCTGCTGTTCGTACTCGAGGCCGTGATGCCTTGCTGGCAATATTCCTACATGACTGCGGGGTGTGGGGAGCTCGAAGTGCGGCGCGAGAGAGACATTTGGTGGTGAGCATAGTGCGGCGGAGATGGAAGGCGCGAGTGGTAGTGGCGATGTGGGTGATGGTGGTGAGGATGGACAGGCAAGGCAAAAAGATGCAGCCGATGCAATCAGAGGAAGAGCATTTCCAATTTCGGCACCTTTCGCTTGTCACGTTGGATGCTATGGTATGTAGTAGATAGAGTAGAGTAGTCTAGGGATCAAACGACAAGAAAGGTAAAGTGCAGTGCTGATTGGTCATGTAAAGCGTCTCTTCGATTGACAGCAGTAGTAAACTGTGAACTGCTAAGTCGGCCGGGCTGTCGAGAACGTCATGACCAGAGCAAGCCAATCGTGGGCCAGCCGTCCCAAGTCATCAATCGTCCACCGTAGTAACGTGACGAGACGCTACGGAGGCCGGCTAATCCCACCCCCGCCCAAAAAAAAAACAACAACCCCCACGCAGCCCCCCACTCCCGCGCCCACTGCGGCGGTCCGACAAGCTCCAAAGCTGCTGACGTTTACTGTACGAGGAGGGCAGAGGACGACGACCTGCAAGGACGACGACGACGACAACGACAACGACTACGACAACGACTACGACAACGACAACGACTACGACAACGACTACGACAACGACAACGACTACGACAACGACTACGACAACGACTACGACAACAACAACAACGACGACGACAGACGGAAAAGCGGAACAGACAACGCAATTCCTTCGTCTCGTACCACTACCACCGTTCAACGTCGTCATCTGCCATTGTACACACAACGCTCGCAATGGAAGGAGACTCGTGGTACAATGCCTTCGTCCCCCGCGCCGTCAAGCCCCTCGACTCGGGCAAGCAACGTCGCCGCGAGTCGCTGCTCAAACAGCCCAACGTAAGCCCACCATTCTCTGCTACCTCGGTAACGTCGACCCGATTTCTGATGATTGTCTGCCGCAGGAGAGCCAAGCTGACGTCGAGCGCGTAGAAGGCATCACAGAGGCCCCAGAGGAGCCGCCTGGCAAGCTGACTGACCCTCCTGCTGCCACCGTCGCCCGACGCGCCAAGTCCTACAGCGACTTCTACTCGGTCGTGAGCGCCCATCTGAAAAAGGAAAGAGCGTGCGAGAAGAAAAAGTCGCGCCATGACATTGCCACGGAGCTGGATTTTGCAAAGTGGTATGGGGACATCAACGACGAGCTACTCGAGGCCAGCCATGACGAGTACCGTCTCTACCAGGACCAGCTACTCCTCACCCGTACCCATCTAGACAACATTCTCTCCGACACCACCTCGACTCTCGACATCCTCTCTTCGCTCTCCGACTCGTTCAAGATGGTCGAAGCCCAGACCAACGCCTTCCGTACCCAGTGCGAGGGTCTGATTGACGACCAGAAGCGCATCACCAAGCTGGCGGATGACATGGAGCAGAACCTGAGATACTACCTCTATCTCGAGCCTACGACGAAGCGCCTCAATGCGCCAGGAGCGGGCAAGATTGTGCGGGGCACTGAATTCACCGACATGCTCGCCAATCTGGACAGCTGTCTCGAGTACATGCAGGCCCACGCAAAGCACCGCGAGGCCGAGACATACCGATCAAGATACCGGCTGCTGCTCACGCGTGCCCTCACCCTGGTTCGCGTCCACTTCACAGAGTCTCTTCGCGAGATTGCCGCCGATGTGGCAAAGAGGATAGCCGACAGGCAGCTGAATGACACCACCATGTCCGCCTTGCTGTACGCGAAATTCCGCGTAGGCGCGCCTGAGTTGAAGGCTCTTGGCCTGGAAATACAGAAAAGAGCAGTCTTACCGGCGGGTGCCGCACCTGGCTCCGAGGCCGAGTACCAGAGCTTGATGAACGAGCTGTACCAGAGCTACGCAGCCACTCGTGGCCGTCTTATACTCCCCATCGTCACCAAGAAGATGGGAGAGATTGCCCAAGCCCCAAGCACATCGACAGATCTGGTAGCTTTTGCTCGAAGCAGTATCAGCTACATGCGCGGGATATGCCTTGATGAGTGCAATTTATGGCGAGAGTGGTTCGATGGTGATGGTGGTCTATACGACTTCCTCGAAGCCATGTCTGAGCCCTTGTACGACTACCTCCGACCGCGGACCATTCACGAGACGCAGATCCTGAAGCTCTGCGAATTATGCACCATGATACAGACCCGATACATGGAAGAAGACGAGGACGATTCGCCCAGTGAGGATGACAAACTCGACTTCTCCATCATCATCCATCCGGCTTTGGAGGACGCCCAGAACCGGCTAGTGTTCCTCTCGTTAGCAATCCTGCGCGATGACATTGAACGGTACAAGCCAAAGCCCGAAGACTTGGATTATCCTACCAAGAACAAGAAGCTAGCTGGGTCGGGAGCGAAGTCCAATCAGCCCATGCTGTCTGGCAAAAAACTGCCCAAGACCGATGTCCCTCCAACCCCCCTGTTACCAAAAGTACCTACTGTGGTGGAGGAGGACGACCCGGAGGCTCGTTGGAACTTCAACACCGAGGCTGCATTCAAAGATTGGTATCCTACCTTGAGGAAGGCAATATGGCTGCTAAGCAAAATCTATCGGCTTGTACACGTACGCTTTGTACTCTACTACTAAACGCTTGTATGTATGCTAACGTTGACCGCAGTCATCTGTTTTTGACGATCTCGCGCATCACATTGTCCACAGCACAACCGTCTCTCTCACCCAAGCTAGCGCTCTCCTGGCCAAGTCTGCTTCCCCCACCGACGCGGCGTTGTTTCTCATCTCCCATCTTCTTCTATTAAAACAGCAAATTGTTGCCTTTGACATTGAATTCGTCACCCCCGAAACCGAGGTCCACTACAATGTGTCGAGCATTACAAGCACCTTCTGGGAACTGCGGTCTCGCGGAGACCTCTTCAACCCACGCAAGCTCGTAGGTTTGCTAATCCCCAAAGTGGTAGAGAACATGCTGGATGCCAAAGCCGAAGTGGACGCACGTCTACGTCAAGCGATCAACGACTTCACTGGTCAGTTTGTCACGCGGATGACGGCACCGATTGACACGAAGAATGGCAAGAAAGTGCCTGTGGCAGAGGCAGCAGCCCGCACGAGCAAGATCCGGCAGAATATCGAGCACGAGACACCGTTTCTCCGAACCAAGCTGGAAGAATACATCACCGATGCGCGGACCAGGGAGATGCTGGTTGCAGCTGTCATGGAGTCTGTCACGCAGACGTACGAGGAATGGTTTGAGACGTCGTACTCGCCCTCGGTTTCGGCACACAATGGCACAAGCAGGAGCACAAAGGGCAAAGGACGGGAAGATGGGGTCTGGGATCCTGATGTATTCAGTGAGTGGTCTGCCAATGTTTTCAAAGTGGGCACACTAGGCTCGATGGATACGGAGCAGGATCATTCGGATCTCGAGCTGAGTGACGAAGGGGATGGCAGTGATGCGGACAGTATGAGTGCGAATAGTGGAAGGACGGGGACGGAGAGGACGGGAGGAGGATTGAGGATCAAGATGTAGAGAGTGCGATGTCGTGACCATGGCAAGTACGTCTATGACTGATTGAAAGCATGCCAACCAAACAGAGCTGGGGTTGGGAATGGTGCAGTTCAGCATTGAACACACTCAACAAGCCTTTGACCCTTTTCCAGATGTTGTTGGATATATGAACTGACGGTTGACAGTATCCCCATCTGGCCTGTGATGGTCAACGCGATTAGGCCCTGACATCGAGACTTGTCCACTTCTGCGCCACTCCTGTGAAGCCCACATTGTCGTTTTGTTTCTGCCCACCCACGCGTGATTTCCATTCTGCCCATGATCCCGACACGACATACTTGCTGTGTGTGTTTGTCTTTCGATCAATTGGGGGCTGGGCAGGACGTGTGTCACCAGGCCACGTGATGTCGCAATGTCACCGAACAGACGGAGAGAGACCACGCGCCTTCCCCTCGTGGCTTTACATGACCTCCGATCTCGACAAAAGACCCCTTGAATCCGGGCCAATGGCAGGCTGCCATCCCCGCTCCCCTGCCATCACGGTTCCTTGTCCTCGGCCTTCACGATGCTGTCGCGTTTGCAGAGAGTCGAAATCGAGCTTCACTCCCTCTGTTCAGTCCCAATAGGAAGGAGCGCTCCTTCCCCATCTGAGATATCAACTGTGAGTCAATAGACGGCTGCCTATCAGGCGCCGAGATCGGTTGAGACAGAGACAGTTGGTTTGTTGCAGCACCGCGTCTATATAGATAGGCCTTTGCTCCCTCCCACCCGCTCACATCACACTCGGCCACAGCTTGCAGCACGATACAAGAGAGACCCAACTCACACGAACCAGAACCATTACTGATACGTAGTCATGACAGATTCCTCCCCTGACTACTACGCCGATTTGGGCATCTCAGCGGGAGCCACGACTGCAGCCATCAAAGCTGCTTTCCATGCGCTCGCCAGACAGCACCACCCCGACAAGACGGGCGGCGGAGATTCCACCGCTTTCCGCACCGCACGCGAGGCTTTTGAGAAGCTGAGCGACCCCGACTTCCGCGCCCAATACGACCACGCTCGTCGCTCCACCGCGCGCCCTGGCAACGCCGACGTAGTTGTCGAGGAAGAGGACGTCTTCGGCCCCTTCGGCCCCTTCGGCCATACGCGCACCGAGCAGTTTGCCGCAGCAGACGAAGCCAGGAGACGAAGCCCACCGCCCACCAAGCCCAAGCGAGGGTCTCAAGAGCCAAGCTGGGCCTACTACAATGGCAGGGCGTTCACGGCCTGGGTCAAGAGGGACAGGGAATGGAGAGAGCGCCACCCCGAGCCAGCCATGTTCGAGGCGGATGAGCAAGAGTATGTCCCCCTTCTACTTTTCAATAAAACACTAACAACAACGCCAGACCACTCGACCCCTCGTCCACTGCCTGCGTCGCCCACGGCCTCCGCGTCAAGATGAGTGATCACCCCGCCTCCCGCGAGTTCTGCTCCAGTCCTGCTAGCGGCTGGCAAGTCCAGGCAGCTGGTCAGGACATCTGCATATTCTGTCTAACCATGCATAACGGTGGCAGTCGCTGTCCCAGATGCCAGGCCCTCGCCTGTCCCGCCTGTCTGCGTGAGATCATTGGTCGAGAGAGGGATGCGCGCTCAAGTTGGACGTCGGGCTTTGCGTATCGTCCTGGCGGTGGCTAGACTGGCGTTGGCTTCTGGGTTATGAAAATCTCTGTTCTGGGAGTTTTTTGTCTGCGGCGGTTTTCGACTTTTTTCCTTTTCGGACTTTTTTCCTTTCTTTTCATTTTCTTTTCATTTGGCTGGTCTTTGTGCAGATGGCAGTGGTTCACTGCACACTCACAGAAGAGCGACATGTCTGCAGCCTGCAACGGATCAGTAGGATCTTGGTCTGGGCTTACTACGATTTCACAGCGTTTCTGGCGTTTTTCTTTTGGCATGGACGTGGGCGCGGACATGTGCATTTGCATTTGCATCGGCGTGGTCATGGTGTGGTCATGGTTTTTCTACCTCTCACGACTCGTCCCCACACTACCCTGCCTTGTCCATCATCATACAACTACACACGACAACACGACTCCAGCATGCGGCCAGCTAGCTAGTTAGCTAGATAGCACATGGCATATGCATGCCGAGTCGACTGTCAATAGTAGTCCAGCACTTGTTGGGTACAGGGAATTTTAGCCGTTTAGGCGTTTTCCTCTTCCTCTTCTTTTTTTTTCTTGTGCTTTTGTGATTCAGTTTGAGAAGTTTATGAGATTTTTGTTGTTGAGGGGGTTTTTTTTGGGTGCGGTGTTTCTTACTGCCAGTGATAGTCGTTTGGACTTGTGATTATGCTGGTGCTTGTGCTGGTGCTGGTAATCATGTTGATACGCGTGCTGATACTGACAGTGACACTTATGTTGATACTGACGCTAATTTCCTACATGCTACAGTTGCTTCTGAATGGGATTTTGATTGTGAATGTGGCCGTGGCTGTAAATGTAGATGCGAGTATCCCAGTGACTATTGTCGTGGACCCGCGATTTAATAATTTGGCGATGATTATAGCCATGACTGTGGCTGTGGCTGTCGACTTTGAGACCTAAGGGCTTTCGGTGATTGAGACGTGGTAATTAAAAAGTAGCAAGTAGTAAGTAGTAACTGTTCACTCTTCACCATTAACACCAACTCTAACAAAAACAAAAACTCCTAACCTTGTCCTTGGACTGTTGAACTGACAAACCGCTAGACAGCTATACTCCTATACTAATATTTCCCATTTGAACTCACATTTGACTCCCTTTCCCTTTCCCTTCCCCCGTTTCACACGCACAGCACCACATTACCTTGCCCCTCTCACCGCACTTCCCGTTTAAACTCCACGCTTGTTTCAATAAAATGAAAACTACATCGCCACACATCCGCCACGATAAACCCCAACCCCCATGTCCTCCTCTAACCCCTGCCCATCCCATTCCCACAACCTCACTGCGCTACCTTTACCTCAGTGTCCAATCTGCCTAGCACATGGCCTGATGCCACGGCGCCGACGACAAGGGAACGCAAAACCCAGATGATTGTCAGGATACCGAGACTCGGGGGACAGTATCTAGATAGCTGTAGTCAGTTAAATTTCAAGGTTGTTCATATACCAAGGGGGAAACAAAGCACATACTCGTTACCCATGAGACCGATGAAACCGAGCCAGAAGAGGAATTGTGCGAGGCTGAGAAACGTGATGCAGAGGATGGTTACAAGGTAGAATCTAACGACCAACCTCGTCCTGCTGACGTTGCGGCTGCTTGTGCGTTGTACGGTGAGAGTACCGTAGGTTGGGGGAGTTTGGTCCTGGGATGTGACTAGAGGTGCTTGTTCTTGGTCTGGGTCTGAGGTCTTGTTCATCCAGTTTGCGGAGATGTTTTCTTCGAGTGCGGTCCAGAGGTGGTTGAACAGGGCTATGAGTTCTTGGGGAGTTTTGGTGGTTGGGGTTGCAGACTGGGTGTGTCTTGTAGTTTGGATGAGGAGAATGAGGGAAACGGTGAGGATGATGAGCCATGCGAGTGCCCCGGCATACATGAGCTGTGCGGGAAGGGGTAGTTGAGATATTCTCTCTTTGCTGCTGTAAAACTTGTGTTGTAGGCCGTATTGAACGGTTGTCAGCATGGTGGTTGCCGAGAGGAGTTGGAGGATGGCTTCTGTGAAGAGATAGGAGAATATTGGGGATAATTCAGTGGCTTCTAGGGGTTCTGCTATTGCTAGGATTGCCGTTGGCCAGGGCAGTCGTGGGATCGTGCACCAGAAGAGTATCAACTGGAATATGGGGATGAAGTCGTAATCTGGGGTTGATTGGACAAGTGCCGCATTCACCCAGTTTGCAAACAGGTAGATGAATGTGGTAACAAATCCTCGCGCAAGCCATGATGTGGGAGAGAGATACTTGAGGTACCTGTATCTGGCCAAAAAGCCGGCAGAAAGAGTAGCCGTGGCAACAATGACAAGGCTGGCAAATTTCCAGTCGGTTGAAGGACATGTTTCGGATGCCTTGGGAGACTCTGTATCATCATCAAACGTAAGAGTGGAGTCTCGGGAAGGTTTGACCCTCCAGCGCCATGGGATCATGTCTTGCAGACCAAGTAGGGCTAGCTTACGCCAATGCGTGGGAAGTCCATGCCAACCCTCTACATTGTCGCAAAGATCGTGAAGCCAATTGACATAGTCGGGTCGGTGCTCAAGCTCGTGACACGATCCATTACATGTATTGTAGTCGATGTTGCGGCAGAAGCAGGTCCTGTCTACCGCACGTTCAACACTGCAGTAGCCGTCGGAGTCTAATTCGCAAGCATCCGTCATGCATTTTTCAGAAAGATGAATGACATCCTCTGGTATATCTTCCATGCAAGAAGGCCATCGCCAGTCATTGGCAGAAACATAGTCGAACTTTGTAGTTTGAAGCCCGTCCGTCCAATTACCGGGCATAGTGCCATGTCCACAGGTAGCAGCCATCCACAGCCGCTCTTTAGTGCTGGCTAACTTTGTCGCTGAACAAGGCTCTGCTGCGTAGTCTATTTCGAATGCCTGGCAGAAGCAATGCTTATCGAAGTAGGTACCATTGGCAATCATGCTCTGCGTGAGGTCGTATCCGGCTGTTGCAAAGTCCAAAGCGACAAGGGATCGTCCAGATTCGTTATATTCCCACGGGCGAGCAGCATTTCCGTTATGCTGAGAACTGGCTGTGAACCCACAGATAGCCATCGCATGTTTGTAGGATTCTTCCGACGTGACGGAAACCGAGTCGATGAGGCAACTCGGTGCCTTGTCCATCACCTCAACTGCTGCGTAGCCTTGAACTAACGCGGCTGGCTTGAGAGGCTGTAGCTCAATAGCATCACCAATTTCAACAAGCCACGTTCGACCGGTAATGCCATGTATCCACTGAAACAACTGCGCTTTTGCTAGCACGGATTTGTTGCAGTTTGATAGATAGTTCCTGACGATATCGGGCGAGAATCCAGAATGAAGACAGCTTAGCTTGATGAGCTAGTTTCAAAATCAGGCTTTGTCCTTAGTTTAACGTGCAGAGGAAATTCTCACCCATTGGTAGTGAGTGCAGAAGCCGAAGCGGCGAGTACATTGTCTTCGAACACACTGGGTCATTACTTTGAGCCAGATGGAGGTATTTTGCTGCGCAACACACTGCGGCATGGAAGCCAGATCTTCTGGATTTACCCAGCCATTGCGATTTTGTAGAGGTGCCAAAGTGCGGTCCGCATCTATACGGTCGATGTCGGCTTTAGTGAGTTCAAGTGTGTCTATACCTGGAGTCTGTCAGAACGAACGCTGCAAGTTCTACACGAGAATACCTTGTGCAGCTACCATGTAAACGACAAAGCTGAACAACCATATGCATATGATTTTTACCCTCATCTTGGGTTTCATGATAGAGTATGGGTGCCTTCAGGCGATGAGGTGCGGGGTTGGATCAGCTGTTGTGTGACACTGTGAGACTGCCGCCCGAATATAAAGAGCAAACAGTCATTTGACTAAGCAACGATGGAGCGTAATCCGGCATTGGAACAGTACCATTAGCCCTAAACTTCCCATTACCACAGTCAATCTGATCCTGTGGATATTTCAGGATGTCAAAGACAGGCCAAGCAGCAATTAGCCGTGTTGGATGCGTGCAAGCGAATGAACGTGCCAGCGTCATTGCACCACACGCTGTCACTTTCCATTGGTGAAACTCTATGGCAACTTCCACTCCTCTACCGGTACTCCCAAGGCTGCACCGGTGACGACTTTACCAATGATATTTGAGCACAGGAAAAAGAGGTTGCACGTTCCAGTAGAACCGAGAAGTGAGATAAGAAATGAAACCAAGAGCTGAACATGTAGATCTTAGCAGGATACATGCTCGTAGACTTGAAATGATTTATGATATACCATGAAGCTTTTAGGCTTGAATCTCATCGCACCATTCAGGGATGCACGCTAGTGACGCTACGATCATCCATCTGATGAAGAGCTGACAAGTGTAGAGGAATCGAGCTGTTCTAATCAAATTTTTATGACATGATATCTAATCGCAATGCGAAAACTGGCATGTACGACTACTCTGTTGCAGCAGCTTGTCTGTACTGTGGTGGTTGTTCAGTGGCTCAGTCCTAGGTTAGGGGAGACGTCTGTGAGGCTGTGAGCTACCCACGCCAAGAGCAAAACGACGCTAATTCGCACGCAGACTCGCTTAGACGACCTCGAAATTCCCATCACCAGAGACAGTTCTCACGACACGACCTCTCAGGCAATTCGACACACACATCCGTCGCCATGGCCAGTACGTTGCAAAGACGCCGATGATGAACCAATGAATGTTGACAATTGCGCAGAATCAAAGAACTCGTCCCAGCACAACCAGTCGAAGAAGAACCACAGGAACGGGTACGCTCCCCCTCTGCGACTCCAAGGCGCATGCGCACAATGCCATCATCTTCGATCTATCCATCGCTTCCGCAGTACACAAGGGGACAACGAAACATGCACAAAGAGATGTGGCTGACGTGATGGCACTGTAGTATCAAGAAGCCTAAGACGCACCGTTACCCTTCGCTCAAGGGCACCGACCCCAAGTTCCGCAGGAACCACAGGCATGCTCTTCACGGCACCATGCGCGCTCTGGTGCGTACCGACAGCACTCTTCTCGTATCCGGCCGACAACAGCCTGCTAACAAACCTGTAGAAGGAGGTCAAGGAAGGCAAGCGCGATGCGGCATAAATACAACGACCACGAACGAGCGAGGCGGTTTCGATTCTTTCATGAGACATTTGGTTGGCGTCAATGGCATTCGGACTTCATATGACGGCCTCGAGCTTTCGAGCGCAGAGGATGGGAGCAGTACCCACACCAGCCCTAGGCATGAGATGTGGCAATGAATAAGTCGAAAAGTCAGCCTCGGTGCCCTCCAAGCGCGCCACCGTTCCCGTGATGCAAAGCGACTGGCAGACTCGACGCCGGTGACGTTTCCGTACGTGAGATTGATACGAGGTGCAAACCTCCAGGCTTTAGTGTGTACAGCGTTCAGAACCTCCCCATGTTCGACCAGCTGAAGGAAATTCTTCGAGCCAAGAAAAACGCACCCCATCATTACCAAACACACTGTCTTTTACCTCTGTAGGACGAGTGTGCATGAAGATGGGGTTACATGTTGTTTACTGATGTGCCATTTTTTGTGTGAACCACGTGTGATTGTTTCAACAAGCTAACAACGCAACAATCGCGGTAGCCAAGGGCGTCCGCATAGTCTAAGCTTGAGCAACTATGATAAAATCATGCATTTTATCATAGCTTGTAGTAGCATGGCACTTGTCATGGGTTGATCTCATGGTAACATCATCATGTGAGAGCATCTTGGAACCTTGTAACATCGATAGCCGGTGCAGTGTAGTCGGACGCCTTTACAACAAGGTAGAGCTTCAATAGATTATCACCGACGGTACTCTGCAAGCGCCACTGTTGTCTTATCTCTCAGCACTGCTCGCTATCACCGTACTGCGTGTATCACATATCATCGCTCCGGAATTCTGAAGCTGGTAAACCGACGACGCAGCGGCTCCCGACCCATGCCGCCTGCAGCCTTAGGTGCCTTCTTACCGGTGACCCCCCAGATCTATTCGTCATTCTATCTCACCCACCTTGAGCACTGCACCACCTTTCCTTACTGTTAGTTTACCAGGCACCACCTTTCCCTTCGCTCGCCTGCGAACGACGTCCTTGTCGTCCAACTTACCCCGCGCAGCCCCGCCATTCTACCATAGCATTCCCCCATCATGGCAACCCAAGCTCACTGCGCCTTCTGCTTTGAGACGCTGGCCGCAAGCCTCGAAAAGCGCCCCGGACTGTCCCTCCCTGAAGTCGAAGCACTCTGGTCAAAATATAATCGCTCGCTCATTAGCAGCTCGCCATCTAACTCCTCCGACCCTCTCCCTCCCGGCACATCTACGCCTTCCACAGCCCCATCCTCGACCACACACTCTGGTCTCTCCACCCCCGGCGATTCGGCAAGTGCAGCCAGCAGCGCAAACTCCAGCACCAGCTCCCTCAATGAAGAACACCCACTCTTCATAACCTACAACACCCTCACCTCTCGCGGTGACAAACACCTCCGAGGTTGCATTGGCACATTCTCCCCTCAGCCCCTTCCTACCGGTCTGTCCTCATACGCGCTCACTGCCGCGTTCGACGACGGTCGATTTTCTCCCATCAGTGCTTCCGAGCTTCCCAGCCTTGAAGTCGGCGTCACGTTGCTTACTGACTTTGAGCCTGCCAAGGACGCGTGGGACTGGGAGGTGGGTGTGCATGGGCTGAGGATCTCGTTCATGGACAAGGGGAGGAGGCTAGGGGCTACCTATCTTCCGGATGTGGCGAGGGAGCAGGGCTGGGAGAAGGAGGAGGCGTTGGTGAGTTTGATGAGGAAGGCAGGGTGGAAGGGGAGGAGTGCGGAGTGGACGGGCGTGGAGCTAGGGGTTACAAGGTATCAGGGGCGCAAGGTGGCGTTGAGTTGGGGGGAGTGGAAAGAATGGAGGGACTGGGTGGATGAGGATGGCAAAGATGAGTAGAGAGGTAATGCATTTGATTTAGAGGGACAGGCATTGGGCGTTGAGGGGACGGACAGCACGATATATCTAGGACTATTCACAGCAGCATGGTGTGTATGTAGACGAATATACATGACACCCTCCTCATATTAGGTAGGCATTTAGTATGAACTGGCGTCATACTTGGCTGCACAGTAGACCTCACCACATGACAGAAGCGCTTGATCCAATAAATGTACATGTATATACTCCACTCCCATGATATAATACTGACTCATGATTTGTTCACCAGCTCTTCATGATGACAAAGTGTATTGTAATGTCCCGTTGATGCCACAAGTGGGGGGGGGGGGGGCATGAGGCACTACCTTCCATAGCCAATCACAGCTCACTGACCAAGGCAGACCCTGCATGAGCAGCAGAAGCGTGCCAAGCAAAGATGGATGGATGGATAGTGGTGGAAGCCATCCATCTAGATTCCATGGATTCGATGGAGCTAGGTACGGTACCTAGGTGCTTACGGTACATGGGCTATACGCACACAGTACGGTACAACAGCAAAGGCCATGTCGAGTTTGTGAAGCACAAAGACGGCGAGCCGTTGTCTTGCCCAAGCTGAGCACGTGTTGCATTGGAATCTGTGAAGCAGAGTATGTATGGTAGTCGACTAGTAGTAGTAGTAGTAGTCATAGTAGTAGCCCTGGTACTCTACTGTGTTAGACTGCCGCCTGACTAAGCCCTGTTTGCTCGTAGACGACCGCTCTTGCTCTGTTCGAAACGTACTGCGCCCAATGACGTCGCTCGTGACTTCCTGGCTAGTCAGCCCTCCTGCCACAGGTATCTCTACTCTACCCTCCCGTTCTGCTTGTCTCTGTCCCTCACGACACTCACTCGACAAGAAAGCTTCGACAATCTCTACTACACTGACACGCTGCCACAATGACCGTCAATGCGCCCACGTTAATCAACCTGCCTCCTCCGCCATCGGATCCGGGCACGCCTACTGAAGCTCCGTAAGGCACCTGTGGAGGACTGACTGGTGGGGGGCCCTCCGCAACAGGCGCAACTGACAGTACATGATAGGGGAACCCCCAATTCAACAACGACATCCATGTCTGAGTTGTCGACGGTCGCAATCAAAGACGGACATCGTGGCCATTTCCCCCATCACCGCAACCCCGCAGAGGCAGAGCGGGCGGATCGCATTTCACGTCTGGCTGGCCTAGAGCGAGTCGTGGTTTCAGGTCGCAACCCGCAAGGCCTTACCCCAGGCAGTGCTGCAAACCCACCCCCTGGCTACTTCGACTCGAACAACCAGCCTCAGATTTTCCGCGAGCGCAGCACGGTGGGTAGTGCCAGTGCCACAGGCTCGGTCGGCGGCCGCACGACGTGGGCAAGCGGCAGCGATGTCTATGACCACGATCGCATGAGCGAAGACCAAGATGTAGAGACTTCGAGCATCGGAGGCTTTAGTGATGAAGCCGCATCCCTAGTCGGTTTTGGTGAGGGTGCCAGGACGCCTGCGCGACAACACAGCCAGATGGGCAGCCCTGCCGTCAGCAAAGCCAGTGCCGTACCCGGCCATTTGAGAGATCAAGCTGGCGCCAGCCCACTAAACCAGGCCGTTTCTACAGAGGAGCAGCAGCAGCAGCAGCGGAAAGAAGTAAGGAATTCTGGCAGCTTGGCATCTGATGACAATGCTACCGACACCAACACGAGCGGCCGTGACGGGGACTCGACTTCTGAGCATGCCATCCGCGAGCGCATGCGCCAGAACCAAGCGGGTCAGGCAGCGATGGACTCGGACAGACAGAGGGACGAGTAAGCAAGGGTGAGCGTGAACGCTACCCTTGTGTGCTACTGCAGGTGCACAGCGATGGCACAGGATGCTGGAGAGGAAAACATTGCAGCTCTGCATGATCATGTTTCGTGTTTTACCCCCCAAAGAACAGGGCGAAAGACACGTAGACGGTATTGCTCATGTAGCTTTTCTTTTAGGTGGATGTTGATGTTATGATGTACCGTACTACCCAATATAACGATGGACTCTTGCAATGGAAACTTTGATGATGCTCTGCCCCGTTTGTACATCGTTATCACGTGAAGGTGTGCACCTCGATGACTTTCAAGATCTGAGTGCGCTATCCATTCCCAGCAGCCGTGCCCGCCTTCACATTCTCATGAGAGAGAGAGAGAGAGAGAGAGAGAGAGAGGTCTCGAGTTCCAGCAACGTGGTCCTACTGCTACTGTCCTTGGGACTGGCTAGAATAACACCATCATGATAATGGGTTCGCACTATCGGACCGCCCCGTTGCAGCGAATCATAATTTGTGTGGTTACAGCTTCCAGCCCAAACGGGTGCGAATCAATGCTAGGCGTCACAAGCTCTCCACACCGCATGCTCCTCACCAACACACCATGTAGGTAGACTGTCCAACTAGCACTTGAACTGCTACAGCCTTGGTTTTTTTTTCCTTTTTATAAAATCACTCTCCGTCCTTTCTCTCCTTGCAGACCGAAACATCAGCATAAATAAAAAGCACAACGCAAGTAGTCAAGGTACCGGTACAGGTAGTCTACCTACTCTTTCAAACACCCCGCATCTCTTGATTGTCTCAACCCACGACGCTTCGTGCCTTCACAATGGCAGAGCAGGCGGGATCGACGGGGGGAAAGAAAGACGCGTCCTCCACCACGCCCTCGCCCCTACAATCACTCAGCAACTCCGTCTCCTCTCTAGGCCGCTCACCACCGCCGCCTGCACTCAAGATGAGCTCGCCGAACCCCACCTCGTCCCACCGCTCGAGCTTCGCAGAGCACATGCGCGGGACACCCACCTCCCCGCGCGCCTCTCGACACGGCTCTCTCACACAACAAGCACTGCAGGACCTGCTCAACAATCCGCCGACCAAAGGCGGTGATCCCAAGTTCCAGGGTCGTGATTGGAGGTCAATCCGACTGGGTGAAATCGTGGACCCTGAGCTCGTCAGGTTTGTCGAGTACGACACCAGCGTTGAGGACGCGACCAGTGTGAGTCAAGTCGAGAGGGCAACTTGTATCTCCTCTGCCCACACGAGGGACATGGCTAATTCATAAGCTTAGATCTTGGTCAAGCACGGCGCACCCAACGTCGTTTTGCTTCGTGAAGACGCAAACACACGCCATGCAACGGGCACCTTTGATTACAGCGACCTCAACGCCTATCTCCTGCTCGTCGTCGGCCTTGCACACCCCGATGAGGGAGACATTGCCTCGTTCGATGAGCTGGCGAAGAAGGGAAGGGAAGGAAAGCCGATTCCGCTCAAAGATGTCAAGGAGGTTGGCGGCAAAAAGGAGCCTCTCATCACGCTTCCCAGCACCGCCGACCTGACCAAGGCCATAGAAGTGTTTGGCAGTGGGGTGCACAGGGTACTCGTCGCAGAAGAGGGCACCACAAACGTCATTGGCATTCTCACCCAACTGCGTCTCGTCCAGTTCTTCTGGGAGAATCGGCAGAGCTTTCCAGCTGTCGACCAACTCTACCCTTACCAATTGAAGGACCTGAACATTGGATCCAAGCACGTTCTCGCCATCAAGTGAGTCGTCTGGCGGCAAAGAGACTTGTAGATTTGGCAGCTAACCTACCATGTAGCGGTGATGCTCCCCTGGCGCAAGCTCTTGAGCTCATGAACAACGAGGGCATCTCGTCTCTACCCGTTCTCGACGCGCAGAACAATGTCATTGGCAACATTTCGCATGTCGACGTCCGGGTCAGTCTCTCCGCATCGCTTCAAAGCTCAACATCTGACATGCCTACAGCTACTCACCAAGTCCACATCACTTCCTCTCCTTCGCTCCTCGTGCATCCACTTCATCTCCGTAATCCTCTCGGAGCGGGGCGTCAACGATGGCCAAGACTCTTTTCCAGTCTTCCATGTCGATTGGTTCAGTACACTGGCGCACACGGTGGCAAAGCTGGTCGCCACACGCTCCCATCGCATGTGGGTTGTGGATGCACCATCCCCCTCGTCGTCGGGTCCCTCCACCCCAGCCCTCGCCCCGTCCGTCATTGTGCCCCCCTCACCCATATCTCCCATACCCGCCATCATGACCGGCCCCACGCCCGTCAACTCGATCGCGCCTACCCACCTCGCAGGCACAAACGCAGTGGCACCCGCGATATCCGCCTCGGCCATTACGGGCGCCCGCCTGTCCGGCCGACTAAGCGGAGTCATCAGTCTCACCGACGTCCTGAACCTCTTCGCCAAGGCCAGCGGCCTGAAGCCCCATGACCCGGACGAAGCACGGCGTGCTAGGCGCAGGTCGAGCTCGAGCAGCATGAGGAAGAGCATGGACAGTTCGCGCAGCGAGAGCGTGTCTGGGATTGCGGGCCGACGCAGCAGCGTCAGCGAGAATCAGAAGAATATCCAGCGGCTCGAGGGCTTGGGTATTTCACGGGGCCGGGGGACGGGTGGGTGAGGGGGTAGAGGGGTGCTTTTTTCTTTTTCCTGTTTTCCTGTTCGGTTTTTCACGAAATGAATCGTTCTCGGGTGTCTCGAAGTTAAGCAGTGGGACGTGGGTTTTCAAGCGCCTTCTTTTTTTCTTCTACGCTTTTCTTTTTCCTCGGGTTTTTGGCGGAATTCAACGTCAAACGTCAAACGTCCGATTCATCTTTGACGGCTCGGCTGGGGAAAGATGCAGTGTGGGTGTAGTTGTGGGTGGAGGCATGGAGCTAGTTAGCATAAGCATACGCAGTTTTTCCACGGCCTGTTCTTTTTCTGGTTTGTGTTTGTTTGGGATTGGGAGGTGAAGATGTGATTTTGGGTGATGTGGTTGGGGATGGAGTGGTGTTGGCGTGTGTACGTGTTGGCATGGATGTCTTTTCTTCCTGTAGGTGGGCTGTCTGTATTGTCATGTGCATGAGTGATTTGACTACAGGTGCCAACTTGTATGATTTCTCATCCACGTCTTCCTTTATTCTACGCACGATACCTTTTCTGCCTACCTACCTTTGGTACCGCATCACCGCCACAAGCCCGCTACTCTGCACCTCGCAGCATCCACACGGCGCAACACTCCACCAACGCCCTTTGTTTTCTCATCCCCTCGCCTTTGCGTGTTTTTTTCCTTTTCGCGGGTGAGGATGGAATGAGTACGAGTGGGAGAATGGGATGGAGGGAGATGTAAAGGCAGGGCATGCGCGGGGGAATTTGGGCGGAGTTTGGGCCGGGGGGATGTGGTATGGAGTAGATGTGTACTATGCATGTACAGATTCCGCAATTACGGTACTTGCTCCATGGCCGCTGAGGCGGTTGGGAGATGGGATGGGCATGTGTGTGTGTGTGTGTGTAGGTACCTGTCTGTGCCAGCTGGGAGGACGGTGACAGGGTCAATCAATGGGTGTCCAGTCGAACAAGAGGCAAGCCAAAAAAAAAACTCCCAAGACGCGTCACGTCGCCATCTCCGACGATCAAACAGCCCTGTGTTTGAGTTGGCAGTGGCCAAAGTGTGGTGGGATCACTCTTTGGGTGAAGTTCGTTTTGGCTCTCTCGGTGGGCGCTTGCCAGTCCGACGAGGGGAATCGGACCTATGGGGGGGGGCTACGACGATGGCCTCTCGCTTCCGGTCCCCCACTTGGCTACTTTCCTACTTTCCTACTTTTAGCCCTCAGACTCCTCCCAACTCTCCTTGGCTCCACAACGAGGACACGACACGCAATCGGTGTCTGGTTACAGGATCGTTTGGCGGCCGAGTGCTCGCCCACCTTGCCCTTGTCCACCTCGCTCGCCCACTTCTGTCGCATCCATGGCGGACACACGATGCTTACGGTAGCCAGCGCTTACTACCTGCCTACCTAACCAACCCACCTACCTGACTTCTCCCGTTGGCGTCAACGTGCTGGGCACCTTGGACGCCATCACGGACTACATGTCCTGGTTGGTAAAAGGTCCAATGCCGAGGGAGCAACGGGTGGCGGCCGCCAGGCGGGTCCACTGCGGCTGTGGTGGAGGTGGAGAGTGCACGCGTGCCCCAAGTGGTGGTGGCATGTCATATGACCATGGGTTTAGCGTCGGGCGACTTGGGCTTTACTCCGAGTGGTTAGAATATCCCTGTAGGTTCAAGTCCACGTCACAGCGGCAAATTTTTATAGTTATATAAACTAGCCTATAGTTAAGTATAAATTAGGGTAATTTAAGCAAGTAAACGCAGTTTTTGTTACTATCTTTTTTAAACGTGTTCTAAACCTGTTCTTAATAATATGCAGGCGTTCCTAAATACTATACTAGAGTTTAGTATAGTAGTACTAGATAACGTATCTAAACTAGATAGTAATATTAGAGATAAATTTAGGCAACTATATAAAGTGCTAGAGGAGGATAGTAGTAGTAGTATTAAGGAAGTAAGTAAAAGTAAATAGAACAAGTTTAGAATAGGTTAGTAATATATTATAGGGGCACAATATATACCTTACTTATAGTAATAGTTAAGGACTACTACTTATACTAGCAATTATTAAGCATGCAGCTATTCTCCTAGCATACCCTTAATTATATAGCTAAGGGTATAGGTATATAATACTAGTTTAGTAATATAAAGATAGCTCTTACCTAATAAGAGAAGAGGTGCTTATATAGGCTATATAAGTAACACGTTAAGAACACGTTCTTAAATTATTCTAATTCTAGCAGGTATAATACTCCTGCTAGTCTGTCTATTTTAATAGGCCTACAACTTTACTATTCTTTAATAGCTAGCCAAATACGCAGTATAATTTATAGATGTCCCAACTAATACTCTAGGGTAAAAGCGTGTAAGTATCTTAAGAATATATTATAAATATATTCTTATTATATTATTAATAACGCACTATATAATTAGATCTAAACCTTAAAAAGTGTAGTACCTAAGAAAATTCTATAAAGAGAACTATAAATAAGAAGCTATTATTATAGCCTTATTAAGCGCTTCTCTTTAAGGATTTATAAGGACTACTAGGTATCTTATTATCCTATAATAAGGACTACAGTAAATTAGGTAGGGAGCGAAACTTAAATATATTTAAAACGTGTTAATAATAAGTTAGTAAATTATAGAACAGGCTTAACTATATATTAGCTGTTAGAACTATAGCCTAATATCTACTACTAGGAAAAAACATTATTTTAGTTAGGTACTACTAGAGGTAGACTCTACATATCTATAAGGTCTTCTAACTAGGGAGATATTAAATCTTTCTAGTAGTCCTGCTTTATATTCTATAGTTAAGCTACAGTTAAGCTAGATAAAGAAGTGTGGTAGGCATATTGCAACCTATTCCTAACACGTTCCTAACATGTTCTAGGCGTTAATTATCTATAAGGGCAAGGATCTCTGTTTAAAATCCTATATAAAGTTACCTTCTAAGTAATTATACTAATAGATATAGTAGCAATACCTTTTTTTACTATTATTTCTTTTAGTATATATATATATATACCTCCTCCTCCCTTAACACTATCTAATAGTAATATTAAGGAAGTAGTAAAGGTATTATGGCCTATGCTTACTCTGCAGCTTATATAATATAAGTTGTTTATAACCTATTATAAATATATTCCTAACTTATTATAGCCTAGTTCCTAAACTTAACCTAGCTCTAAACCTATCTCTAACTTAAAGGTTTCTATTCTATTAAAGAAATGCATATTAGCTTTGTAAATAAAGATAAAATCTTGCGTATTATAAAGCGTGAAAAGCTTCTATAGTTCCTATTTAAGAGTAGCCTTAGAGGAGTATACTATAAGTAGAGGATAAAGTATTAGGATCCTAAAACTATATATAGTATAAGAGAACAGGTTTAGAATATATTGCTAACACGTTACTACAGGCGTATATATAGCAAATCTTTATATTAAGCTTAGGTAACTTAATTATTTGCCTTTTTAACAAGTAGGTATTAATTCTATTAGATTAAGACACGTTCTAGATAGATATGTTATATAAGAGGTTATATAGGGTATAGGCAGAGATTCTAATAGTAATCTTCTACCTGTAGGAAAAGAAGCGTACGCATTAAGAACAGGTTTATAACACGTTTCTAACACGTTGCAGTTATTATACTTAGCTAAATTATTATAGACAAGGATATAACTAAGATATATTAAGTTACTATTACTAACTTCTTTTAGAAGTATAAAGCACTTACAAAAAGATAAGTGTTATAGAGGTATATTTACTTATAGGGATTCTATAGGACTACTATTAATATATATAATAAGTAGATAATAGGCAAGTTTTATAGCGTACTATAATATGTTCGTAACGTGTTTCTAACTTGTTTCTAGGACTTAGGCGCTATCTCTAGTTAATTAATCCCTATAAGCGTAACTAGCGCTAGTAACTTTAATCTTATATAAGATTTTATTAAGTATATCTATAAAGAAGTATTCATAAAGCATATAAAAGAGAGCTAGATAATACTACCTCTTTACGTCTAAGTGAATTACTACAGGTATTAACAGTAGAGGAATACTTTTAGCTTGCTAACCTCCTCTTATATAAGTAAATACATTCTAAACCTGTTCTAAATATGTTCCTAACTTATTCTTATATAATTAGAACACAAACCCTCTAAAGATACCTAAAACTAGGCAATCTATAAGAAAAACCTAGTAATTACTACTAGGATTGTGTAATACTATAGTAAAATATTAAAAGAGGTATAGAAAAAACTAGAATCTTATTTAAATACAGCTAAGCAAGCAGGCTAGAAAGGATATAAAACTAGTAAGCATGTAAGTATTCTTAAGGCTACTTAGAAGTAAGTTTACAACCTATTCTTAACCTGTTAGAATTGTATAAGTAATATTATATAGTGCATACTAGATAGATCTATAGGATATAAAAGAGTTTAAAGCCTAAAGCAAGTTTAGAATACGCTATAACTATAGAACTCCTAATAGGCTTAAGCAAAGGTACCTTAAAAAGCTTTAGAGGGGAGAAAGTAAGTCTTACGCTAGCGTTATGCATATTTGCTAATTAAAACGTGTTTAGAACGTGTTTAGAACGCGTCCTATAATAATAATAATACTCTAGATAATAATAAAGTAAGTCTTGCTATATCTAACTTAACTAGATATATCTTAGTCCTAATAAGAAATAAAAGAGCACGCTTAAAAGCCTAAAGCTAGAGGGCAAGTAGTAGAGCGGTATTAGAAAGAAGTTTACTAGCCCCTTTTCTATCTTCTCTACTACTAGGCTCTTCTTCTCTACTAATAGTAACCTAAAGGTATGCTTTGCAAAACACGTTTATAACACGTTCCTAACTTATTATTAGTCTATAACTATAAACTTTATAATAAAAGGCTTTTCTTAGTAATTAGGCTCTAAAGGAGAGAAAAGAAAAGCTAGAGGTAGATAAGGAAGAACTTGCATAGAAAAAGGCACTATTTAAATTGCAAAAGGCACAGTTTAAACTTAAGAAAGAGATAGCTACTTTTTATATAAGGTAGGGTTAGTCTATAAATATAGTAACTAGTTCCTAACTAGTTCTTAATATATTCTAGTCTATTACGTAAGTATATATAAGCGGATAAATATATATTCTTTCTTCTTCTCTTTCTTCTTCTTTCTTCTTACACTCTATAAGAACTTTTTATATTTAAGAGTTTAATACTATTTTACTATTTATCTTTCCTAATATTATTAGATATAACTAGTTAATATAGTCTATAAAGATCTTTTAAAGTTAGTATATAATAGAACGCATTAGGAACACGTTATAAACTTGTTCTAACACTAAGTAGGATTTATACTAGTAATATATTAAGCTTAAGTTACTTCTATCTAATACTAGGGCATTCTCTCCTATAATATCCTACCTAAATAATAGGTGTATAGTATTTCCTAGCAAGCTTTTCTACTAGGCTATTTAGGCTAGATTAGGGGTACAGGAACTTTGTAGAGTATGTATACATGCGAGTTAGAACACGTTTATAATATATTAATAACTATTTTAGTGTTGCTTCTCTAATAGAGGCAATCTTATCTACTACCTTAAGAGGTATTATCCTAAGGTTTAAATAGCCCTAGTAAACTATAGCAGAACTATAATATAAGGTATTATAGAAGTAAGGATCTTCTATAGGAGCTTAATAGTAAATGCTTAAGAACGTGTTCTAAACACGTTAATAATACGTTCTCTACTAGTAGAGTAGACTATACTAAGTGCCTCCTCTAAGGTTTAAGAACCCTCTAAGATAGCTAGTCTATAATAAGAAGTAGTAGCTAGAGTAGAGGCTAAAGAGGAAGTAGAGAGTAAAGAAGAGGAGTAAATAGTTGCTCCCCTTTACACTATAAATAATATTTAGCAAAAGTAGCAAAAAGGAGATATAAGTCTAGTCTCTTAAAACATGTTTAGAATATGTTAATAATACGTTATAGCTAGACACCTATAAATACTAGATTCTTCTTTAATCTAAGGGACTACTAGAGCTTTATAATACCTATAAAAGTTAAAAGAAAAAGTTATATACTATTAAAGGACCCTATAAAAGTAAATAGTACTTTACTTTTAGTAGATAGAAAAAAAAAGAAAAGAGTAGAGAGTTTATTTTAGTAATTACTACTACCCCTTTAGGTTATATGCTATTATATATTGTTTATTAGAACCTATTCTTAACACGTTCTTAATATGTTCCTACTTATTACTATTATTATCTCCCTCCCCCTCTCTAGTATCTTCTCTATCCTCCCTAGGCTCTATAAAAGCATACTACAAGTGGAACTAGGCAGTATTCTAGCAGGAATTAGTAAGGTCCACACTAGTATTAAAGTAACAGTCTTAAAACACGTTAGGAACAGGTTAATAATATATTATAAATAACTTACTATAGCTAGGATAATTGCGAGCGTAGATAGTATAAGGAACCTAATAACCTTAAATCCTTAGTAGGGTAGATATAGTAATAAAGTTAAGCTATAACAAGTTAGCAACGTGTTTTTAATAGGTTCTTACAGGCTATACCTTATTACTATTATAGCTACTACAAGTCTTCTTTTAAATTATATTTAGGAGGGTATTAGTATTTATAGGGGGGCCTATAGTAGCTACTAGCTAGGCTTAGAGAACTTCTATAAAATATATTAGTAATAAGTTTTAAATATATTCTAAATAACTTATAGTAAGGAGCGTTCTAGTAATTATATATAACCTTTATATAGAAGTCTATATATATTAGTATAATAAGTTAAGAATAGGTTAATAATATATTTACTCTTTGCCTTGCAGACCTCTATTATAGAGGGCTAGCTAGTCTTCTTAACCCTACTAACCTTATAGTAGGCTATATTAAGCCTATAATCTTTTTTAGTATAGGTATATAGAGTGCCCCTAGTACCTAGAATAGCCTAAGAATATTAGAACCTGTTTAGAATATGTTTAGAACCTATTCTTACTCTGTATAAGGTGCCCTTATTATTAATCTTAGTATAGTAGTAGCGCTCTCTACTCTCTATCTTAACTACCCTATTAGGGCTAACTATAGGCCATGCCCTAATATTGTCTAGGACGTAGCTAAGGGCAAGGTACTATTAATAGTGCTTCTATAACCTGTTAAGAACACGTTCTAAACACGTTTTAATCTGCTTATATAGGATAAGAGGGATATATTAGTAATAGGTATAGTAGCAGTAGCTTATAGTATTACTAGTATAGAATATATTTAGAATAGGTTTAGAACGCGTTGCAAAATCTTATAGCATAATATTTAGTTAACCTTGCTTAGCTAGCTAGTAGAGCTTGGCATGGCCTAACCCTATACTAAATACGAGTTCACGCAGCGCTAATTCCATGGTCATATAAACTGCGCCCTCCCCTAAGTGGTGAGGGAGACCTGCACATCCGTGCTCGTCACTGGACGGGTACGGGTACTGAACAGTCCTAACTCTACAGAGTAGACCCCAGCTTGGACTTTCCTCCGACATTCCTCACACGGCCTTTTGGTACCGAGTTCCCCCCCCCCCCCACTCACTCACTCCCATTTCACATACTTTGTCCAAACAACATTCACGGCTCACGAACGGACTGGTGCCGCCTTCGTTGTCTTGGTTCTCGGTCTTGGGTTTACAGTGTACCTACTATCCAGTCCTATTGCCTCCTCCCTCCCCTTCCCTAGTCCTCTCCATTTCCCTTCTCGATTCCAGCCTTGGGCCGCCTAATATCCCCTCGTTGTTCCGTTTGCGTCTCTTGTTGTATACTATCCTGTGAAAACATACACCACACACCACACCACACCACACCACACACTCCCAAAACACCCACCCGCCACCCGCCACATCCTCGTCGGTCTTAGACCTCGTCCTTGAATGTCCCACTCCAGCTAAACACCACCTTCTTTCTCAACGATAAGAATACACCAAAATCCAATTCAACAATGGATCTCTACCATGCCACTTTCGCCTGTTCGATTGTGCTCAACAGCCTCGTCTTCTACCAGTCGCAGCGCTCCCACACGTCTGCCGAGCCGCTGAGCCCGCGCAAAGGCGAGGAAAAGGATCGCGTCGATGGGGATCGCGAGGCGCTGACCAAGCTGAAACGGAGGTATTATCCGATTTATCTGCTGGTGAATGCGGCGGACTGGTTGCAGGGACCATATATTTATCCCATTTATAAAGGTAGGTGTGTGTGTGTGTGCAAGGGGTTATGATGGTGGTGGTTGATGTTGCCGCTGCTCGTCATGACGTCAAAGTGTTCATGCAGTGGTCGTATGTGTATTCTGAATTCCGACCATGGCTGACCTCTACGTGATTGCCTCCTAGATGAAAAAGGTCTACCTGAACAGACTGTCGCCTTCCTCTTCATGATTGGTTTCGTGTCCGCGGGCATCAGCGCATCCTTTGCCGGCTCGTTTGCGGATCGCCATGGTCGCAAGACTGCCTGTCTGGCATTCTGCGTCATCTACTCGCTGTCGTGCGCTACCCTGCTTACCAACAACCTCAACCTGCTCTTCCTCGGGCGCATCTTGGGCGGCATGTCCGGAACTTTGCTCTGGAGTGTGTTTGAGAGCTGGATGGTGGCCGAGTTCAATTCGTTGATGCTGCCGGATGCCGAGCCCATTCTCAGTGGAATCCTCGGCACCCTGACGACGGCGAACAGCTTTGTTGCCATCTTTGCAGGCATTCTCGCCGAGTGGCTTGTGAGGACTGCCGGGACGGCCAAGGCGCCGTTTATGGCGTCTACGGCCTGCTTGCTGGTTGCTTTTGCGGCGATTGCAAAGTGTTGGGTAGGTCTACCCAGAGCGCGAGCAAAGAGGTTGCGTTGGCTGACTTTGTGCAGGGCGAGAATTATGGCTCTAGCTGTCACAGCTCGGTTGAAGAGGCTACGCTGCTTCGCCAGGAAGAGGCTGATTCCTCCCCTGCGCCCGCTTCACCGCTACGAATGATCCTGCATGGTGGGTTTGGACAAGAACAAGCCAGAAAAAAAAAGGTCAAGGCTAACTGGCTGTTGTAGATCGCAAGATTTTGATATTGGCTTTAGTTTCGTGCTTCTTTGAAGGCTCGCTCTTCCTCTTCATCTTCTTCAAGTTCCCGGCGTTGAAGTTGAGCCATAAGCTCTCTGGAGCCACCCAAGGTAAGTCTGAACCCCCTTTTCCAAAGTTGAACACAAGACCAACTCCAGCCAAACAGAACTACCCTTTGGCCTCATCTTCGCCATCTTGATGTGCTCGATGATGTTTGGATCCATGCTGTACAAGCGCCTCTCCACCTCGGCCACACCCATGGCCGCCTCCAAGATCCTCACCGGCCTTCTCGGCCTCGCTTCCGCTTCCCTATTCGCACCCGCCTACTTCCGGGACGAGCGGATTACACTTTGGTGTTTCTGCGTCTTCGAGCTATGCTGCGGCATCTACTACCCCGTCATGGGCTCGCTCAAAGGCAAGCTCATCGACGACGGCGCAAGAGCAAGCATCTACGGTATCCTCCGCGTTCCCCTCAACATCTTCGTTGTCCTCGCCTTGAGCACAACACAAGAAGGTACGTCTGTCCCCCTTGTCCCGGCTAACCGCTTGGCAGAGGCTTGTGTGTCTCTCTGCAAGAACTTCAACGCTGACCCCGACCACGATAGGCGAATCGCACCGGAACATGGTTTTTACCACCTGCGGACTCTTGCTCTCCGTCGCCGCAGGCGTCGTGCACACTACACTCTCATGAACAAGCGCGCTTCTTTTGCTTCCCCAATTCCAATCCGCACTTCCAATCCTTTTCTTCTTGGCCCTTGACTTGTTCCTTCCTTGCCCGCGCGCGCGACCGTTGGGATGCGCATCCCGTAGCACACTACCCTTAATATCCGCTTACTCCGCATTGGCGATCTTCTGCCCAAGCAGCGGTTCACATGCACATGCATGCATGGTCTACCTAGCCAGTTTAAGTTTTCCGAGCAATAAGGCCGCAAAGAGTCCCGTTTGGGGCTTTGCGAGACTCGGTCTAGTTTTCAAGTCCATATGCCGTTATCGGTATTCTTTCCTACCTCAATGTGTTCTCCACTGTAGTGCCGTACCATGGCGTTGTATCTAGGTACCTAGTTACCACCACCTACCTACACAATACATACCCAAGCAAACAACCCCCAACCCAGCATACCCCACGCACGCCCAGCAAACGCACTTGGTTGCTACATGCTGCAGCCTCCCCCTGTTCCCAAACTCACCCTGCCAAACAGGGAATTCCGTAGCGTACCCTAGACTACCCGTCCGCATGGAACGCGAGGTCGATGGCCTGTATGCTGGATTGGGTGGGTCATGTATCTATACATCGCATTGCCGTGACCAATTCACTCACCTAGCTAGCTGACTGGCTGGCTACTAATCCTACAGATATTGCGGGTTGTTAATTGTGTTTGTGAAGGGGTGGGTGCTACGACGGCACTGTTGAATATTCTTGCTCATGTCTACTTTTGTATTTGTTTTGGGGGGTTTGTTCTTGGCAGATGGTCTGGTTACTTGCGTACACAGGCGCACTCGTTTTTATACTGGTACATGTATGCAGGGCGTTTGTGCGACTGCGCGGCTTGGTGTGTCTGTGTCTGTGTCTGTGTTGGATTCGGTGGACAGTCCAGTACAGTACGCAGAGGACGACGTAGAGTACGCGTACCACGACGGCGACGATGCCAATCAACCTCTCGGCCGCTAAACCCGGGTTTTTGCGGAAAATTCATGTAGTCATCTGGGTAGACTGTGGCGCGCGGCCATGTACAGACTGTTTTGGCGTGTATGGTAGGGGTACCGGTAGGCACGGAGACCGCTGGAACGTTTATTGCGCGCGTCTAGAGTATTTGTATGTTTACCTACTTCACCCATGCTTTTGTTCTTCTTTTGGCACATTTTTCAGTAATACCGTCGATGCCCAATAGCCAACACACAACCCTTTAGCCCTCCTACCAAACACCACCTACCACCTACCACCTACCACCTACCACCTACCATACTCTAATACACCATACCACACCACACCACACCACCACCCCCCAACCCTCCAAACCCGCCCCAACGCCACCCCCTCGTTTTGGCTTGAAACGACCGCAACTACCCGAGGCTAGGCCAGACTAGACTGTACCGGTACGGCTTGGTTGCGCTTAGGCGTGCACCTCTTCGCTGCTGCCGCCTTGCCGCAGCCGTTTGGGGGATTGTGGGGATGGCGAGGGGACGGCAGTTGTTTGGACGGGATGGGGTGTTGAAATGGGAGGGGATGGGGGGAAGTGTTTGGTGAGGGAGATGGGAGATGGGAGATGGGAGATGGGAGATGGGAGATGGGAGATGGGAGATGGGAGATGGGAGATGTGGATGATTATACCATTGTATTTTCTTTGCTTGCTTTGCTTTGCTTTGCTTTCTCCATGTCTGTCTCTCTACAAACACACACACACTTGTGCATTCTTAAAAATACTCAACCGCACGCTGACGGATACCGCCCCCCCCCCCCCTCACACCCAACATCCACTCAATCCGGCCCCCGCCCATGTCTGTCTGATGAACAAGGGATGCCGGACCCACCCCTTCCCCTTGGCGTCCAAGCTCAGGAATGTTCGTCGGCGCGTCATGACTTCTTCTCAATCACACCCACAGGCATTCCCTCACCTTGACCCGACGCACCCCAAACGGCCAAGAACTAGGCGGCATAGGTACGGTACGGTACGGAGATGCATGCATGCATACAGGCAGGCAGGCAGACAGACAGACAGGCATTTTGGCGTGTGCGCAGTTGCCCTTGGACGGGGGCGGTTTTGATTTGGAGAGCGGGCTGGGTGGGGGGCTTGGTTTGGTTGGTTGGGGCTTGGGGGGGGCGTTGTCGCATGTCTTTACTTGTGTGTATGGTAATGGTCAATCGGTAATCTGTCTTGGCCTTTTGTCTGGATGTAGTGTGCAGCTCTCGCTCGCTCTGTGTATCCCCTCTCTCTCTCGCTCTCTCTCGCTCTCTTACCCCGGCTCTTGGTGCCTTGGATCTGAATCCCTTGTCACGTTTCGTGTCGTGTCTTCTCTCACACTCTCTTCTCTATTTACCCATCTCTCTCTCTCTCTTCTCTGTCTTCTCCTTTACGCCTAACGTACATTACTCCAAGCATTCTTTGAGTGGGTTAGGTCCGATTCAACTCGGGGCTTGGACTTTTTCCTTTTGGGGGTTATATTGCCTTGGAGACGGTCGGGAGGCAGGTTATTTGCCATTGCTATTGTCCTCTTTATCTGGTTACGACCGTTGAACGCGCCTTGAAGATTGCAATCATGATGTCTCGAATGTCTGGTGGTTCGTTGCCCTGTACCCTCATCTTCGTCTCTTGCAGGATGATGTCGACTGACTGCCCACCCCACAGGCCGGATTGTCGCTGCAATCGCAGTCGTCATCTTCCTAATCCTCCTCTTCCACAACGAGCAACCTGCCGCTCTCCTCCCCTACCTCTCCAACCTCCCCACGCCAGCCAAATTCACCAAATCCACGCCAGAGCAACAAGCCGCGCTGCGCGAACGCATGGCGCTGTCTGAAAAGGCGTGGAAGAAGAGCGTGGAGCAACGGGACGCAATGGCCAAACAAGACGAACAGTACCCAAACATTCCCTTCTTCCCCATGGACTTTATAAAGGCCCCGTACACCATCTGGGACTTTTTCCCCTCCACCTGGACCTGCCCGCTCGACATCCAGCGCATCGGCCGCCTCGGCGACGGCGGGAAATGGGTCTGTGGCATGAGCGTGTACGAATCCCTACCGGTGCCCGAGAAGCGACCGGGCCTATCGCCCTCGCAGGCCCCCGTCTACGCTCCCCAAGACGGCCTCGTAGTCTACAGCTTCGGCATCAACGCCGAATCCTCGTTTGAAGCCGAGCTGCTCGAGCGCGTGCCCAGCGCCCGCATCTGGGGCTACGACTTCAGCGTCGACGCCTGGGGCCCGCAAATCAAGCCAGAATACCGGCCACGCACGTATTTCAAAAAGGTGGGCCTCGGCAAGACAGACCAGCACGACAGCTCGCCGCCGTTTTGGACGCTCCCGTCGCTGATGAAGGAAAATGCGCACTCGTACATTGATATTTTGAAAATCGACATCGAGGGCAGCGAGTACGATGCGCTGGACACGATGATGGATGCGTTTGAGAACACGCGGTCGGCGGCGGGCAATGGCATCATGCCCATTGGCCAGGTCATGATTGAGTTGCATCTCGGCGATGGCGTTCATCTCGAGGGAACAACCGAGGGCGGGGCCGCCGTCGACTTTCACCGCTTTCAGACGTGGTGGGAGCGGCTGGAGAAGATGGGCATGCGGCCCGTGTGGATGGAGATTAACTTGTTTGCCGTCACCCTGGGTACGGGCAAGTCGGATCCCCGCTGCACAGAGTATGTCTGGGTGAATGCAAAGGATGAGCGGAGTGTGCTTTGGAATGCGTGATAGGTTGTGTGGGGGGTATGTGCATTGGGTGACGGCAAGGGTTAGATTTTGTTGTTGTTGTTGTTGTTGTTGTTGTTTTGGTTTGGGAGAAGGAGGGCGGAGGTTACGCAACGTCCCGATATGTGAGGGACACGGCACAAGGGACGATTTCCCTTTCATGTGTAATAACGCCTTGCCTGCGGTTTTTGGCAAACATTTTTCGGCGTTGGGGCCCGGAGATGGATAATGCATGTTTTATCTTCCTTTCTACAACATTTTACATATCCAAGGGGGGGGGGGGGGCGCCAGTCTGCCACCCTTCCCTGAAACAAAGTATGGCATGATATTCCAACACCACAAACCACAACATCTTCCTCGTGTGCACCCAAGACCCAATGCACCACCACCAGAACAAACAGCCACAGTGACAGGAAACATCGCCCTTGGTCGTCGTTCAGACAAACTCCCTGCTAGCACACTCCCACCCCTCCGGTCGCACGGTTACACCACCTATCGCTTCCATGCCTCATTTATCCGCCTGCATTTCCCCCATTCATCCATGCAGTCTTCCTAAAACGAGATGTGCCACATCTCACATCTCACATCTCACATCCTATTACTCACCCCTCACCCCAAACAACCATACCGCACAGCCAGACACGAAAAAACCTCGGCGTCATGAAGCATCCCCAGTCGCCAATTCCATCGCCTGGATATTGAAAACCCCAGCGTGGGCTTGCTTGATGCACATGATAAACCGTTTGTAGTTTTCGCGGTAGCGAGTTCCATGGTGTGTAGGCTACGAGGTTCAGTGTGCTGGTGTTGGGGGGGTGGGTGGTGAAAAGGGCGAAGTGGATGTGTATCTGGGTGTACTGGGGTGTGCAAAAGAGGTATTGTATACAGGTGGGCATGGGAATATGACGTTGTACAACAGAATAGCTGTATGTATTTACATCTGCATATATCTGGAACAAATTGTACACGCAGGGTATCTCATGGAAATACTGCACAACTGCCTCCCACTACCTCCCACTAGTGGGGTGAGATGCAATGAAACGTTGCGTGTGAGGATGTGGGAACGGGTGTGTATTCGAAGAGGGGGGGTTGGAGGGCAAGTTGTGTATGTGTGTACATGTATGTCATGGTTTAAGACGAAAACTCCCCCTATCCCATTTCACCAATCCCAAACTTCCCAACTCACGACCTCCCGCATAAACCACTTCACGCCATGATTCACAATCAAGATCCGCCTTGATTATTGAAATCCACCCGACGAGACACTGTGTCAAAAGTAAAATGCAGATCCATACTTTTTGTATTCCTCCAACGACAAATATCCATGGACTGGGAAACTAGCTCTCGCTTCCTCTCGTTCGATTCAATGAACAACTAGCTGTCGAAACAGGCTGCAAAGAAAGACCGAGTCTGGGTATCTTGCGTGACACGAAATCTAGACTACAATTACTGATGCATCGGGGACAACGCCCACCTCTGGAGTGCCCCGTACCATCTACAGCTCTGCTTTTCTCTGAGCAAAAAGAATAAACCGCAAACCTCTCTCTTCCTGGCCTTACAAATGCCATCAATTACTTGCTAGCGTTAGTAAAAAGCATCCGGATTATCATTGCCTTTGCCCCCATACCCACTGTCCACATCATCGAGACTTCTGTACTGAGACTGTCCTCCGCCACGCCCTCGTCCTCTTCCACCACCACCGCTTCGATCTCCACGATGCCCACCTCCCCGTCCACCTCTTGATCCATACGATGGATTCCTGTATCCCCCACGTCCGCGACTCTGATTCCCTCCACGGTAATTAGCCGCGCGATTGTCGCCAGATCGTCCGTTGTGCTGTCGACTATCGCTATTTCTGTCGTGTGGTTCGTGTGATCGACGTTCTTTGCGATTCGCCTTGTTGGGGAAGTAGCTCTCGTATTCGCTCTCATTCGCCGTCTCCTCTTCAATCCGCAGCATTTGCTTTTCGCCAACCACGCTCTCGAATTCGAAAGCTTGGTCTTGTGGTACCGGATGCCAATTTGATATGCGCGCGGCGTCTGCCGGTCGACCGTTCTTGCGTATCGCTAGTACCACCGTCGGTACGGGGTTCTCAGAGTAGTATTTCGTGGATTTTGGGACGGGCTCGACGCGTGCAGCCCAGAGCTTGTTCTCAAAGCAGGAGATGGCTGTGACTTTCCATTTGACCTTGGCACCGATGCCGCCTACTTTATCCAGTATGCTCTTCGGGCAGGGCTTTGGTGTAATCAGAATGCTATTTGCGAGGTACCGTACGTCGTCACGCGGTGTGCCATGTGGTAATGAGACAAGCGAGGTCAACTTCTCAGTCATAGTCGCGGGGATCATATATCCAGTATAGAAGACGGTCTTCTTGATCTGGTAAGGGGGTGTTCCCGCCGGCGCATTGCCCGATTTGACCTGTATGTTGTGTGCATTAATCATCTTCTGGATCTCTGCGATCTCGTCAACAGGGTCGAGCTGAGTCGCGTTTTCGGCAACTTGTATTACGTCGGTGGTGATTGGTTTCCGCGATGCCTGAGTTCGTGCGCGCATCAGTTCTTCGTTGAACTGGAAGAAGAAGTCGCGGAAGCCCTTGGTATGTTTTACCCGGTCTTCATAAATGCTCAGCTTCTCTGCGTCCTTGTACGTATATACGATGTCCTTTAGCAGCTCTTGCTTGAACTCCATTGTACTCCGGAATTTCTGCCCAGCAGGTCCGATCGCGGGTTTCAGACACACCATGTCGAATTCCAGGTGCCGACTCTTCGCGATGCGCTTTACAAGATCAGCAAAGTTGCTCTCGGCTCGGCCGGTCAGCAGCACCGTCAGCGCATCTTTCTCGGCCATGGATGTCTCAACGAGTGTGACGATGTGTTCGTTCCACCAGCCCTTCCAGCCCCGCGGCTCTTCCTTCTCTATGCCTTCGCCCGTAGCTGCCAGTATGTTCGCATCGTGCCACCAGCCGCCGTTGAGGAACATGTCGGGAGATCCAAGCTGGCCTATTGTCGCGCTGTTCCATATTTGTTTATTTGGTAGGGGGCTTGCGAATACTGTAACGTCTCAATGCCAATCCGAATGCGAGACTGTAGAATACTTACATGTATTATCGAAGTCATATACATGTATAGACTTGATCTCAGACACCGGCGGTAGTTCTTTGTCATCACACGACCACCGCTTGAGCGCAGTGACTGTGTGATATGTCGCCTTCCCATTCGGTCCTGCAACAGCAGGCTGAGTCGATGTGGCTAGCATGGTGGATAACGAGCGGCGAGCAGGCGAACAAATGCGACTCGAGGCTGAACGCAGCATGCAAAACGAGAAGAGATGACAATGTGAATATTTATGAATTGGGAGCGCTGAACTGGCCGCAGCGAATGAGGCGGTCGACTGCTATAGCCGTAGACGGTGTGGCGGTGGATTTGAGGTTGAATGTTTTTGTTTAGTTGAAAGACTGGACGATTCTACGATGCGATGGAAGTCGCGACCAACGGACTACTTTTGGTAGGCCCGTGCAGAAGAAGCGCGCTCCGCAATGACTTCCGAGCCATGAGCTCATCGTCGGAACGTGACCCGTGACCGTCTCCATTCACCCTCCCTCCCCAAAGACTCAACATCGGCGCATGGGAAGCACGGCTGGTTCGAGCAAAGACGAGTCCGAGGACACGTGCGTCATATGCCTTTCTTCCGTCACTGAGAGGGCCATTACGGTTCCATGCAATCACTACACTTTTGACTTTGTCTGTCTGGTGAGCTGGCTACAGGAGCGCTCTACTTGCCCGCTATGTTTGTCTCTGCATGTCAGTGTATATATACCCTTTCAACTGACTTTTCAATAGGTAAAACGCAGATAACTGCTGTCCAGTACGACTGGCAATCCCCTACCGATTACAAGTCCTATACGATCCTGCGAACTCATGTACCCACCAGTACGCCGAGTACTGCTAATACCAGTCGTGCATCCCTTTTCGCTCCATACGGACTTCCAGGCAGACTACGAGGAGCCCACCGTTCTTATTCTCCTCCAGTCGAAGATGTGGCGCTTCGCAGACGGCGCACTGTGTACCAGCAGAAGTTGCACTCTCTCCATGTGGGAAGCAATCCGTATTCTGGCTACCGTGACCTGACGCCCCACATGATCGCAAACTCGCCCGACCTCCAATCACGTGCGCGTGCCTGGATACGGCGTGAATTGCGCGTCTTCACCTTTCTCTACACCGACACCGAGGCCGTGTCATCTGGAGGTGCAACGACAAGCGGCAACGCGGAGTTCCTTCTCTCCTACATTGTGTCCATCCTGAAAATGGTGGACCTGAGGGCAAGCAATGGACACGCGGAGACTCTCTTATCTGAGTTCCTCGGAAGAGAAAATGCGACACTCTTCCTACATGAGCTCAATTCTTGGCTGAGAAGTCCATACAAGAAGGTTGAAGAGTGGGACAAAGAAGTGCAATACAGGCACAATCTAGAATCAATCTGTAGCGGGGATGGAGTATGAGGACTAGTTGGTAGAGTAAAGTGAGCAAGCTAGATACACTTTTGCACAGGGTAATAAATCAATCACACCATGTAAACAACAGTCTGCGTCTATGTCAACAGGCACGATAGCGTTCGAGACAGGAGTAAGATAGATAAGACGTTTCACATGCATATGATTCATTGCATTATGCCGTTCCTCACGATGGAGATTGAAGAGGTGTAATCAGAATGATATTGCATCTCTGTAGGTTGTCCTTCCCGACCAAGAGTTGATCGTGATTATGTTTTCAATGTCTGATCAGGGTCACCATCTTCCCATAATCTTCTTGCTAGTCAGCCCCAGCCTCTCACAAGCGGAATGCACGGCATCTTGTGAGCGTGAGAAAGCATGTTGCAATCATAGTATGGTGAAGCCGCTCTCACTGTGCCGCATCAACATCTTCCTCCTCCATGTAGCTCGAAGCGTCACGCAGTGGGCCATTGGCCGCCGTCTCTGCTCGCGTGAGCACGAAGGCGCGCGTGAGCTCCTGGTAGAACTCCAACGGATACACCTTGTCATTACCGAAGGAAGTAACGGAATCCCTGTGTGCTCGGTATACATACAAATCGACAAGGACTTTGCGCATTGGTGAGCCAGCCGAAGTGCCTTCGTAGATGATTTCGATTGTCGTGAAACCGGGAGAAAAGATGGTGCCGTCCAGGCGCGGTACGCGACTGGCAGCAAGCATCGCTTTTAGGACCGTCTTCTTCGTCTCGGTGTCAAGTAACTTCTCGGCCAACACGTAAAGATGCGCAAGCGCGTCGAATTCTTCCCCTATAGTCTCAATGCTTGGAGTCAGATTCGGAATGATGGCCAGTTTACCAGTGTAAAGGAGATGGATGTACTTCTTGAAAGTACTGGGATCATCCTCGGGTAGAACAACATGACGTTCAAGAGCCTCTTTCCAATTGCCCGATAAAGCGGTCTTGAAGAAGATTGAACGTGCCGTTAAGAGGTCTTGATGAACTTTGAAGACCTCTTCCTCATCCTTACCAACACGTATCTCAACGACACCCTTGTAGTCGCTACGGTGACTTTAGTAAACAAAACTCGAAGAGGTTTCTGCATGAGGCGACTCACCTGTGGACATCCTTCGTGAACGCGCATATGCGTGACATGTCGTCTGCGGCTGGGGATGTTTTGGTGACCGCAATTGCCTCAAGCGCCTGAACAGATGGAGGAGGGCCTTGACGACTTTTCTGTGGTAACATAACAGTTGCAACAGCTGAGTAAACAATAGCCAGTCACCTCGATAGGAAGCTACAGAGGCAACAGCAAACGACCTGGCCCCAAGCAGCTGGAATGATGGAGCTTGGCAATGCACGCACAGATGCTACCAACGCTGCTCATCCGCAGACAAGTCCCGAAAGCAAGGTAGATATATATCTTTTAATATTCGTCAATCTTCATCTTACACCAACCTTAGGTTCGGGCGGGCCTCTGCCAGTGCTATCTGCTTGCCGTCAGGGGGTACGCGGGTTCGACCCGCGTACGGGTCAGTAACAATGGTTAAGTAGATTCTTTTTTGCCCTTTTTTGCACCACCTTCACCCAAGATGAACAAACACATGAACACCATATGTCAGTGATTTTAGCGTTAGACTTGTATTAGATAGCCTCGCCAATGCCATAGATGACGCCACTGTCCGGCTTACTCGAGGTACTGTTGTGACAGCCGCTAACTGAGCTCACTGACAGTGATCGCTTCGGGCTGCCGGGGTCCTTCAGGAAGAAGGGGCTCTTCAGAGGTTTTGAGTATATCATGCTGTCATTTCGCTTTATTCCTGATTCCGGTTTGTCCTTTTTGCGAGGTTTTGGCAGGGGAATCGCTGTGCGCATGCTATTCCCACTGAGTGTGCGGGAATGTAAAGGGGTGCGAGGCCCTCGTCGCTTAGGATCTGCATCTTCTTCCTCAGCCGTACTAGTGGTGGTGGCCTTAGAAGTTACTGTTGTAAATCTTGATCGAACAGATTGAACTGCAGTTGACTTAGAGGACAGTTTACAATCTGGCGTGTCCGTGGGTGAGATTGGCGAGGTTCTGGGGGTAGTTGAAGCCATCTTACCACCTACAGCAGTCCTAGTTATCAATACATTGACCTTGCGTTGAGTGTCTTGGGCCATCGAACATTGTGTGGGTTGATAGTTCGCTGTCTGAGTAACGACACTAGGGGGACTTGAAGGGCCGTTATCGATGCTTGGGCTTGACAAGACACTCGGCCTGCTTTCCAGTGAAGGTGTTAAAGTGCTGTAACCAGATGTGGATTGGGTTTTATCCCCCTTGTCCGAGCTCAACATGTCATCATGTAGTGATTTGTGTGAGACCGAATCATCTGCTTTTGGTGTATGCTGCAAATCAATGTCCTCAACATTAATCGGCGCGTCGTGCATAACGGTGATCGTTGGCTTGCCAGATGCGGAGGCGAATCCAAAGAGTCCTACGCGTGGGCGTGGCTGATGACTTGATGAAATTTTATCGTTTGTTACGTTGGGCAACGACGCTGATCGATCTCGAGGATTTGTGCACGTCCTGCTGCTTGCTAGCGACCGTGAATGTTGTATTGACACCGACCTTTTGGGTGTCTCATTCGTTGTAGAAGGCTTGAATGATGACTCGCCCGTACTGTGCGTGGCATCTTGCTGCTGTGGAGAAGCTGAGTCCATCAGTGGCAACTTCACCGACCGTTCCCCAGACGCTTCGAGGTCGCGCTCTGAATACTACAACACTTGTCAGGCACTTGATCAGCACTAGATGTGATGATTGTACATACTTCAAGGCCCTTTCTCTGTGCCATTGAATCTTTTGGAACTATTGAAATGGCTTCTATGTTCTCGTTACCCATCTCTTGCCGGGGGGAATCCACACGTCTTGCTGAGTATGCTGGCGTAACATCGGCATTAGGCTTAGCTTTGGCCAGAGTTGGGGTGCAGGATCCACCAGCTGGCGGCGACATGGACACTGAGCCTGTTACAATGGGCGACGCGGTATTCGAATTGCCCAACTCAGGAGTCGCAAGTGTGGGTTTGGATCGACTAGGGGTCGGGGCGGGTCGCAATGAGGATGTTTCCGAGTCAAGATCACTAGCACGGCTTCCATAGCTGCTAAGTTGTTCGGTGATTCGCTTCAGCTTTCGGATATCGCTTTTATAGCCTCTGATATCAAGCTTATAATAAATGATCTCCCGTACATAGAAATTCACCTCGTTTCGCAGGCTCTCGACCTCCATCTCATGCGTTGAGGGTGTACCAGTGGATTCTCTTGTTGGGTATTCATTCTGGAATTGCCGGTTAAGGTTGCTTATCCATCGATCAAGATCTTCTTGTTTCACAAGTGTAGTAAGCTCAGGCAATGCCTCAACATCCACGCCACTCTTAAGCTTCATCGTGGCATGCCTTCGTATCTCTGCTCGCAATAGAAGCTTGTGTAGATCCAGTTGACGCTCAGTTGCTCGCAGTGATTTCTCTTTGTCAGCAATGATGGCCTCGCGATCTAAGACTGCTTTTCTAAGCTGCTCAAGGATAGCGTCAGTTTCCCGCGACTTTTGTAACAGATCAGCTTGTATCTCCGATCGAAGAATAACTTCATCGTGCTCCACCTGCAGCTGTCTGTGCCTCGATCTCAACTCGTCTATCTCTTTACAGAGCTCGGCGATGTGATCGTCTTTCTGTTTGGACTGCTCTTGGAGCCGTTCAATCTGTTCAACGGATGCTGATAATGTAGGAAATTCTCGCAATTCTTGGTCTGGGCTGGTAAGGGATGCGTTGGAAAAGACTGTACTCATGCTTGTGTGTGGATCTTGGGTTGCCTGAATGTGTCAGTAACGTGGCGTATGCCTCTATGAACGTATAATTTAGGACTTTCTTTGACGCTACCCACCGCTCTTGTTAAGTCTACAGTGATCGGGGCACAGGGTGTTGTAAGCATTGTGTCGAAGGGAGACATATCAGCCCACATATTGCTCAATTGCTCTTCCGCATCCAATCGCTCCGTATTAGCTATCTCGAGACGGCTTTCCAGATGGTCGACGGTGTTCTGAAGGGCCTTTGCGCTTTCTACAAATTTGGAAGCTTTGTCTGCTTTGGCTTTCCATTCAACCCGCTCTTGCTCCGCTTTTTCGCATGCTGTTCGAGTTTCGCGTTCTCTCTTCTTTGAATCATTTAACTTCGCCATCAATGATTCTATCTGCTTTTGGAGGGCAACATTATTCTGCTTGTACTGATTGAGCTCCGGGAGAAGGTTGCGATTGAAAGTTTCCGGTCGGCGCGTATTGCTGAGCTTCCGTTTGAGATTCTCCATGTCGGGACTGTTGCGTAAACGTGGAGGTGATCGTTGATCATTTCCTTGGGCGCTTTGGAAAGGGGACTGCGAAACCGAAGATCTAATCTTCGCTGTCTCAAGTGTATCTTCTTGGATGGGGGTCTGCGGCGACTCAATCGTCTCTGCTAAGAGCAAAAGATTGTCACTATAGGCTTTGCATCATGGATGATGTTTGTCTGGGCTAGTAACCCACAAGGCCACGAAAGCACAGAGCCTGAACCAATGGCGACCGCTCCCTCGTTGTACAGGGGAGCTGCATCAAGACGTAGTGAAAAGCGCATTTTGGTACTCACTATTTTCCTGCTGTACTTCCAGGACACTTGCTCGTGTCAATAGAGTTGTATCTGCCCCGGCAGGTGCATCTAGGCCTGTAGCAGCAAATTCTTTCAAAGGTCTTGAACTTCTCAACTGGGCCGATAGATTCGAGTTTACACCCTCTTGGTTCGTGGTCGTAGTCCTTAGGCTCTCAAAATGCCTACTGTGTGTAATCGTCGGCGTGGGAGTTGCACTTGCACCAAACTGCAGAAATTAGTCCTCCGCTGTAATATATACACAAGTATTTAGAGTAACAGAGAGGTTTATCAAAGCCATCGAGATCATGAACTGTGCCTTAGGGATGTAAGACTATTGCGAGCACAAAGATGGGCTCCTGAAACAGCTGATAACATGATATTTTCCGCAAAAACCACATCCCAGGATTGCATGATGGCAATTTCGGGTCAATTAGCAAGTTTTATCACGACTGATGCGATGGGAATCTACTTCAAGCGCAGAGTGTCCCACCGGTGCTAAAAAGGCAGATGTTCGTGAACTGTGAAACCGTTTCGTTATGCATACCAAATCACTCGGCAAGTAAACGAGGCGGAACAACGAAACAACTAACACTTACTTCAATTTTTCGCCGACTTGGGCGCATTTTGCTAGTTGTGTCCGAGACGTTACCTGGAACATTCGTCAAAGACGGCTGGAGTGCTTCAGCCACATCAACTGCGTCGACACTGTGCCTCGGTACATATCCTCTCAGCTTTTTTTCCATACTAGATGGGGCGGTTTCAAGATCTAGCCGTGAAGGTCTGCGCTTGTCGGTCTCACTTCGAGATCTCCTGTGTGGTACATTCAATAGGCTGGATCGAGCTTGCATTGCAGCGTGTTGCCCGCAAAGATTTGGAACGCTTTTGGCGTGAGTCAATGATTCTGGAACCAAAGACAAGCGGCTTAATTTGTTTTTCTCTCTGGCGTGAAAGTCGGTCGTGCAGATGACGCTTGAAGTATCTCGCGAGGCCTGTGTGACTCTCAACGGTTGTACAGAGGTTTGGTCAACAGGGTAGCCTTGGTTTTCCAGGAGGATCGAACCTGGAAGCTCAGCGGGGAGCTCTGGAGTTGATGTCATAGACACAGAGCGTGGTCGACTAGGGAGAGGCTTTTGTAAGAAATCTGGCCCTACGCAGCCGGTAGCACACAGCATCGGAGACCGCAGTATGTGTTCGAAAGCTGCTTGTAGATTCGACCCTGATCTGTCCCATGCTGCATCATACTGAGCCAATAAGGGACTAAGGGTATATCGCGTGTCATATGGCAGTGCCACTTGGAGGGAGCATGGCCGCTGTATTTCAGCCTGCGAAGAGGTCTAGTAGACATAGTTAGCGAATGGCGATGGTCCACAACGACTGCAGGTGCTTTCCCCCTGTACTTGCTTCTGACAACTCTCTCTCTCTCGCCTTGCCTGAGGAACCACGTTGATGCTATACTGCCAGCACATTGAGCTCCTGGAGGGCTGTTCATACCTTTGCTTCGAATACCTCCCCTAGTCTAGGACTCTTGGTATCGATAGGGAGGAGCCCGCCCGTGCGATAGTATGGCTCTCCACTCGATTGGCGTTTCGACCGGGAGAAGATCCGTTTGGAATTCATTGCGATGCGCGCAGACACACAGCGACCTTCCTGAACATAGTGCTCGGGTAAACTTGGGAGGAACTTGAATTCAAGATTCAGACGGATAGTGACATGCAGCGATTATCAATGATGAAATGTGTGGTAACAGGGGAACGATGAGAAGAAAAGGAAACAAAGCGCGCAAAGTTAGGTAGACAAAAGGTTGCAATCGTCTGATGGCAGTTTGCCATACGTGATCTGGCGACTACATGATTCCCATTGCCCGCTGCCATGTTTCGGATAGTTACCGTATAGGTGAGCGACGCTGGTGCTTAGGACTCAGGAGTGCTGAGCATACATTGCTTACAGGGGGCCAGAATGCCAACTGGGTGAGAGACGACGAGGGTCAATTACCATGATTTGCATACGCGCCTCGGGGCTGGCCTGAGAGGCGGCGATACTAAAAAGCGAGCAAATGGCCATGAAGGCTGAGGGGTGTGAAGGTTGACGTGTGCTGCAGAAACGCTCGGACCTCTCACGTCTACTTGCAGGCTACCGTACAGGCTATACCGGTAGCCACCGACAACCTCCAACTCTAACTAACGACTTCAATCTTTTGCTGCGATCTATTGGAGGCCGGCGCGCATCTTTTGACGCCGCAATGAATTAGTCGATATATCCTGCGGTGTTTACGCCTCAGCTAAGACTCGCTGGGAGTTCGCTTACTGTTGCGCCTCCGCGCCCAGCAAAGGAAGCTGAAACATCACCGCGCCGCCCCCAATTGCAGTCTGACGGACAGACCCAGCCAAGTAGATAGTAGCACGAACATGGCAAGGGATCTGTCACCTTACAGTGCGCGACTACTGTTGACTCGTCAATTGGCTGAAGGCAACTCTGCTACACCGCAGCCAAGTCAACGCAGACATGCAAGCCCTCCAGTGTCGCAGACTGCATCTGAGCGACCAACAAAGGAGCCTGTGGCCAGCTTAGGCCGCCATTCGAGAAGCAGATCACGGGATCATAAGCCTAGAGATGCTTCCAGGGATCGCAAACCTCGCGACAGGATAGCAGAATCCGCTGTTATCACAGGTGGACGGACAGTGTCGCCAGAGCCGTACAAAAAGTCACGCGACGCTTCCAGAGAGCGTAAACGCGGCCATTCTAGGGAGCGGAGGCGCGATCGGTCAAGAGACAGGCATAGAGATCGATCACGAGAACGGCGTCGCGACAGGTCTGGGGAGAGGAGAAAGGACCGGTCGCGGGAGAGGCAACGCGACCGCTCAAGAGACAGCCGGCAGGATCGTTCGAAAGATAACCGGCGCAAAGAAAAGTCGAGAGAGCGACGACGCTCACGATCGCCTATACCCTACCGATCGCGCAAGCAGCGCACTCGCTCCCCGTCTGCTTCGACATCTCCTCCACCCAAACGTCGTCGAAGGACTCGATCGCCTTCTCCACATCACCGTACCAAAAAGGCTCTCCCATCGCAGGAAATTTCGTTTCGCGGCCTCGACGACTCTGCCCAGCCACCCACCAAGTATGGAGGCGCACCGCCCGAGAAGGAGAAGCCCAATTTCAAAACCACAGGCGCGCTTGCCAAAGCCGCAAACCGAGTCGAGGGAACCAAGATCTCACTCAAGTACAACGAGCCCCCCGAAGCCCGCAAACCCCCGCCATCGCAACCCTGGCGCATCTTCGTGTTCAAGGGCGAAGATGTCGTCGACACCATTGAAATATGGCAGAAGAGTTGTTGGCTACTAGGTCGCTCGCACGAGGTGGTGGATTACGTGCTCGAGCACCCAAGCTCCAGCGGACAACATGCTGTTATCCAGTTCCGCTACATACAAAAGACCATCGAGGATGAGTTTGGCGTCAAAACCAAACGCGGTAAAGTCAAACCATATATCATCGATCTCGAGAGCAGCAACGGCACGGAGTTGAATGGGGAGCCCGTTGAGGCGAGTCGCTATTTTGAACTCCGGGACAAGGATATCCTCAAGTTTGCTGGCAGTGAGCGCGAATACGTGGTCATGCTTCCACCACCAGAGGCTACGTAGATATACTTCGCTATTGGCCAACCGGCGGCGCCGTTCCACTTAAGCGCCCACTTAGCGATGAGAGTCCATGAGAAACAAAAATACTATCTGTCTACCTTTTGAAGTAGTACTTTACACCACAACATGAAAACAGGACAAACAGATCCTTTCCAACCCTACGCTTCTGTGAACAAAAGCAAAAATCGTAATGAATCCCATTCTCCATCTCTCTGCTCTTTTCGACCAAGGAATTGCAGAGCCTTAGTAGGTGGAGGGGTGTGATGTGGTGCATGACCAGCATTTTCCCCTGCATTGAATGAAACTTGAGTTGTCGGCGCCAGCAGCGACTAAATCGTATTTTTCTAGTAGATTCATGTACTATCATCGTCAGGGTAAGCATAAAGTAACACTTCTACACAAAACTGTACCAACTATACCCATCATGTTTATTCTTCTCGCAGTGCGGGGAGAAACCAAGTCGTAGGATTGAACATGAGCATCCAAACCCCCCCGCCCACGGAAAACAGGAAAAAAAAGAAGGCGCCTATACGCCATCGCCTATTCCATCAAACCCCCCTCAACTGGGCCTCCTGAAAGGATGCGCCTCGGTATTAAGCACCCACTCATCCAGATTCACCACATCCTCGTCCTCGAAGAGCAGATAAAAGTACTTGAGCGTCTCGGCGAGCCAAAAACTCTCCATCTCGTCGTTGATGGCAGGGTGCAACTTGGTGACGTCGTCGATTGCGCTGTTGCCGTATGTGGTTGAGGTGTGCTGGTCGATGGCTTTGAACATGCGCCAGCCGGCTTCGCGCCAATGCGAAGAGCCGGTGATGCGGTACATGTAGAAGACGGATTCAATGGCCTCGGGGCTGTGGGTGGGGCGTGTGTTAGTTGGGGGGTTTTGTTCGGGGAGGGGAGAGGAGAGGGGAAGGGGAAAAAAGGGTTCATGAAGGAAAAAGAATTTCGTACCGAAGGATATAAGACCGGCTTTTAATCTCCGTCACGCCGGGTGGAAGACGTTCTTCCTGGATTCGACTCATGACATACTCTTTGTGGCTCACTGCAGGATAGGGCGAGAAGAGGACTGGGAACTGTGGCATCGTGACACTGGGCTTGGCTGGACTGTCAAGTTTGGGTTGGACCTTTGTAGGTGGCCTTTCGCCTTCTTCGGATTCCGCATCGTCGACGAGATGGGGCAGTTGGCGTCTGTCAAGAGTATCGGCCCAGATTGTCCTGGTTGTAGAGTGAGCGTCGACTGCAGCAGCGCGAGATGGTTTGGGTGGTGCGGTTATAGCCGCGAGTTCTGCATCGTACTGGGCGGTAGCAGAGGCAAACCTCTCTTTGTAATCTTGGAGTTGAGATTGATATTTGGACTCTCGGGCCTCGTAATATGGATCAAGTCGTTCCCAGTACGCGGTCTGGTTCCAGGGGCAATGCTTTGCATCCTCGCAGGCCATGACATTAAAGGCCTCCGGCATGATGCCACTGGCTGTCATGTCGTAACTCCATATGCAGCCTTCTGTGAGTTTCTTTGCAATCTCGAGGTCCTCGGGACGTTCAAAGATCTTGGCGCCCATGCCTATCATACCTCCAGCGAAACAAGTGAGATGCGCATTTTCAGCCGTGAGTTCGCCAGCTTTGCTTTCCTCATCAGAAGACATGCTCATTTGGCCGCTGAACAAGATATCCGTCTCGTCTGGGAGCATGGGCCGGTAGATGAGATGCTTCTTGAAAACGTCTGCGGACGCTGTGTACATGGTGCGGTATTTCTCCACTAAGCCACCAAGGAGAAGATATTGTTTGGGTAGGTACTCGTATGTAGAGTCCGATTCACCGCCAAGGGTGTACTTCTCCCGCGAATATCCATTTGGCGATTGGAATCCTTGTGGTATACATTGAGGAGTTGATTTAGCGGCCGCCGCTGAATCGATTCCATCAGTGTCTACTAGGTCGTCGTCGTCGTCGTCGAGCTGGCGCTTGGCCAAGGAACCACCGCTTCGTACATTATCAGCTGGCTTGTCGTCGGAAGTAAGCACTACAGAATCCGGTAGGTTCAATGGAACATATTTCCTGCCATTTGGCGAAAGTTTTTCTGGAACCTTAGGAGAAGCATCGGCTGCTTCATTGTCATTGAGCCCCATAGGAGGCGTCAGAGGTGTTTGTAGCATATTGTCTACTGGCAACTTGCTGCAGCCCGATATATCCAGAGTTGTCGGCCACATTCCTGGGAGTTTGGTCTTCATCTGAAACTCTTCGAGATTGTCGGTAATGCGTGCGATTGCATCGTAGTATTTGTCCTCTCCAGTGAACTGCGCAAGCCTAGTGAACTCCATGGAGAGCGACCCAATCTCGGCGAGAACGGCGTTGGAGGCAGCCCTATGTGTCTGAGAGGCGAATGCAGGTCTCCAGTAATAGTACAGAAGGGGCATGCGATTTGGCGTGTCGAATGCACCGATAAGAATCTCAGCAAGCTCAACCGCTTTATCGAGGAGAGTCTTGTACTTCTTCCCGCTAATATCGTAAGCGCCAACCAGACCACCGAGGTAGCGGATTGTTGTTTCGAACATGGGAATGTCTGCGCGCGTAGATGTTGTGAAGTCGATTTGGTCCACGGCCTTGACGGCCTCCTCAAAGTCCTCCTTCAGGCCCATGATCCATAAGGTATCCAACGAATCTACCAGCGTAGCGCCCCATTCGGCGAATGGGTCGCGAAACGTGCCTGTCATAGGCCTCAGCTCATCGTGAAGCCATGCAAACTCTTTGTATCCATCCCACGACTTTTTCGCGACCGATTTGATGACATCAAGTTTTGCCAGCCGATCTTGTTTTTCTGCAGCGTTTTCTGGTTTGAAGGCGAATTGAATCTTGGGTATTGGCTTCGGTTTGCCCGTGGGCAATCTAATCAACGATTCCGAGGGAACGGGAAAATGCTCGGCCAACTTCGACCAGTGTATCGGTGGTATGCCCGTTGACGAGCTCGACTTGTCGTCAGGAACCACGCCATCGATTGGGTCCCCGTATCGTTGGGGCCGTATTTGTGAGGGGACGTTTGGCTTCTCTTCGCCGCTTGTTGCCGCCGAAGTTATTGACGCCAACTCTGATGATGATGATGATGACGACGACGGTAGAGACGGCAGTGCCTTGACCGGAGGCGGTGTCTGCAAAACAGACGGTTGTGTGGCAGCGGGGACATCGAGTCTCAGACTTTGTGTCTCGTGTGCGAGAGCCGGGCGTGGCTTACTGTCCAACTCAGCCTTCTTCTGCTCGCTACCCCGGAAACCTGGGCCGCCTGCTGCACTCGATGCAGCCTCTCGCCACGCTGCGCCCGACGCGCGGAACTTGTAGAAGGCGACGACGGCGATGAAGGCGAAGAGTAGGAAGACGCGATACCGCCTGAGACGTAACATTGTGAAAGGAGTGAGTAGGACTCGCAGGGCTCGCGTGCGTCGAAATGTACACCGGAAGCACTAAGGAATCAACGGGTTAATAAGGTTGCACTTGCCATGGAGCGCAAGCAGGTAAGCAAGGAAAGGAAGCAGGACGTGGAAGATTTATCTACCTCTCATTCCATATTCATTATTTATGTCCCTGTAACGAGCGAAAAGCCTGGATCGGCAATAAGCGTAGCGGGCCTGTCTCAAGTGGGCGGCGGCTTGGCTCTTGCACCCACTGTAGGGCTTCATTTGCATGCCTGCGTGCAGAATTATATTAAACCCAACACGTTCCATAATATGTCAGCTGTTTCTTGCACGTACCCTGCTGAAGGCAATGAAAAGCTCTCATAAGGGAAGTCCACATATCCACACTCCTTTGACCCTCCCCATCCTTCTTCAGGTAGCAGTACATTGGACAATGAACTGGGTACCTATTCGCCGTTGCACCTACGCATCAACGGGCAAGGGGCACATCCCCCGCACTATTGGCAGCATCCGTATATCCGTCCTAGCGGATGCGCTAACTTAAGCTTAAATTACCCCTGACCCGGATGTGTCCTGATCTGAAATAGGGGTCCAAAGCCTCTAATCGTGTCCGAAGTTTAAACTTGTTGTATGCTGTCGATCTCTGACAAGGCATGTACACGAAATAGATCTTGGAGTGTTCACGGTGTTTTGAAGGCATCCCGTGATAGATACAAGATACTATCGATTGATAGGGTCATGTGGACAATGGGCCATGGCATTTAATCTATTGTGAAAGGTTGGTGTATGTATAGTGCAACAACTCGCGCCGAAATTGCTCAATACGTAGCAAGTCATCAATCAGGCCACGACGCGGTCTGGCAGGCTGCGATTATGCTGACGTGAGGCGCTCTGGATTTGCTGCGATACTTCTGTGATGCCATGCAGATCAATCTTGCTGTTGACCTCATCATTGTCCTTCTTCACCACCTGGGCCCGATTGCCGTCCCTGTCAATGTATTAGCTTGGGCTATTGCGTGTTGCTGCAACAGATTCCATCTTACCATTTGCCGCGCCTTTAACATTTCGTCGCACAGCAATAAATTGGAAGCAATGCCTGTGGCAGATGCTATGCAATTGCGCAGCACGCGGAATGAATCGTAGACACCTTCCTGTGTAGGGTCCATTGCTTCTCCTGTCGAAAGGTTGAGCCCGACAACATTGCCCTCAGCATGTTCGTCCTGTAAAGCAGCGACTACACAGTGATCAGCAAATATCTCCATAGGCCGTATTGTACTTACGCGAGTCTTGAATGTCATGTCCAGAGTTGGCGGCCAGTGTCTTAGGGATGACGAGCAAGGCGTCTGAGAACGCTGACACGCCCCATTTGGCCTTGCCCTTCACTGTCTTGCGGAACTGCTCACTGTTGAGGTGGGCGGCGCAAGCAACTTGAAAGGCACCACCGCCAGGCACGACGCTTCCGTCAACGATCATGTTGTATACACTCCGCAAGCCGTCGCGAACCGCATCCTTTATCTGGGAAATGGTGTGTGAGTTTGGACCCTTGATGAGCAATGTGACGGACTTGGGGTCCTTGACATCTTCCTAGAAGTCGTGAGCATGGAACGAATATGATGTGGGATCTGACTTACAATGAAGGTGTACTTTTCCTCGCCAAGCTGGTGCTCATAAACAAGGCCAGCCCAGCCAAGAACCTCCGGTGTCATGTCGTCGACGCTGTTCTGCGAGGTTCCACCGCAGATAAGTTGCAGGCGTTCCATGTTCCTTCTCTTTGCTCTTCGCAGCGCGAAAATGCCATTCTTGACTAGCACATCCAGACTCAGGGGGTCGATGCCCTTCTGGTTAATGATGACGAATCCCTTCTTAGGATCATCTCCACAAACCTCCTTCTTCAGCTCTACGATCTTTCTCAGCTTTTCGTCAACAAATCGTCGCTCGCTCTCGACAAGCTTCTCCCTTTGTTCCGCACTCGAGTAGTAAAAACCAGAGTTAATTTCCGACTTCTCATACTCCAAGCTGACGTTCAAGGTCAGAATGTATGCGTTTTCCACCCTTTTCGCCATATCCGGATGCCTCGCGCCGTGGTCCAAAGCCAAACCTCGGATGAGCTGTGTATCCGCAGCAGTGCGGTGTTGCATTGTCATAATCTCAACCATGTGCAGATCTGGCTTCGCGGGTGGCTGATAAATCGAAAGGACCGCATCTACGATATCGGGAGTCAGTTGTTCGGCGAGCGAGCTGTCGAGCTTCGTTGATAGCGATGTACGTGCAACAGACAAGAGAAGTTCTCGATCGACCTCCTTTTGGAGCTTGAAGCCATCGAGAAACTGCGTTGTGTTAGCTCACAGCAGTTTAGGTCGTGCACGGGTATCTACCTTAAGTGCCTCTGTCTTAGCAATCTCGTAGCCATCTGCAATCACACGAGGGTGGAGTCCCTCAGCAATGTACCGATCAGCCTGCTTCAACAGCTCTCCGACAAGTAGGACGACCGAGGTCGTGCCATCGCCTGTTATATCGTCCTGTGCTGTAGCCGCGCGTGCTATCATAACCTGTTTTTATTTGAGGGTTGGATCAATACTTGGGGTAGCAAGCGACGTACGGCAGTGGGATTCTGGATTTGCTGCTCGGTTGTTAGCTTTGCAGTCTTTCCTATTGGCAATGCACTTACCATCTCCTTGAGCAGAACGCTTCCATCTTTTGTGAGTTTGATCTGATGGAGTGGTCAACAGTGTCACCTGCCGTCTCTACTCAGATATTCACATACTCCTCCTGCGCCATCCACAAGCCTGTCTACTGTCAGTGACCATTTTTAGGGAAAATGGGCGAATCTACTCACATCTTCAGAGTACCTCGAGGACCCAAATTTGAAGCGAGGACCTGTGGCATGCATCAGCCAGCAATTCCTTCAAATGTATCTCTTCTGTACAGTACCTGCTGCAGGCCTTCACCCGCTGATATGTTCACTCGAAGAGCTTCCCCGCGCCTCTGCGTGATGGTTAGTTGTACTGTTGCGGAGATGCCTGGGACTGTTCCTTACCCTCGACTCAGCCTTGGGATTGAGAAGCTGTGCTGCCGACATGTCTGAAAGAGTCCAGTAGGGTTATCAAACAGCAGTGTATTGTAGCTGAGGCAGTATGGCGGGGCAAAGTGCTGTTTTCGCGTTGCCTGTCGCGCGTCCCTCGTTCAGAATTCTAGCAGGCAATCTATTGGCTAGCGGCGATGCCAAGAGATTATTTTCAAAGCTCGAACTTTTTCTATCGCACATCGCACACCTCCTCCAGCACCGCGCCCAACTCGCAACGCCGACACCCGTAAAAGACGACCGGGTTAATTTTTCAAGGCCCCCTCGGACGCGGCGTCATACAATCATGTCGATTGATTACCTCCTGCACGAAAGCCCTGTTGGCTATGCGGTATGTCTTGGAGCTCTATAGCTTATTACGCAACTGCAGCTGCTGATCATGCCGATGTGCAGGTATTCAAAGTAGTATTGCAGCCTGACACGATTGGAAATCGCCTGGCCGAGGTTCAGAAAGCTGTACAGGATCTGGACAAGTTTGGAAAGACTGTTGAACTCGTCGGTCTCGCGCCGTTCCAGGGCACTCAGGATGCGCTGCAGGAAATCAACGACATCTCTGAGGGCATCTTGTCCGACTTCCTTCGCGCGACCCTCGAGACCAACCTGCCCAAGGCGGGAAAGAAGAAGACCATCACCCTGGGTGTGAGCGAAAAGAATTTGGCGGCAAGCATCAAGTCAGCTTTCCCAAACTTCTCCTGCGAGACCAGCGACACCTCCGAGGTTGTCGCTGACCTTCTCCGTGGACTCCGTCAGCACTCCAGCAAGCTCATCAAGAAGCTCCAGCCTGGTGATATTGACAGGTCCATTCTGGGTCTCGGCCACGCCTATTCCCGCGCCAAAGTCAAGTTCAGCGTTCAAAAGCAGGACAATCACATTATTCAGGCCATTGCCACTCTCGACCAGGTCGACAAGGATGTAGGCTATGCGTGTTCTTCAAAACGTGACGTTGCTGATGTCTTGTAGCTGAACCAGTTCTGCATGCGGCTGCGCGAAAACTATGGATGGCATTTCCCAGAACTTTCCAAGATAGTGTCAAGTAACGAGCAATACGCTAAGGTCGTTCTCAAGATTGGCGACAAGTCTCGCCTTACCGACGATGATGTCCACGACCTTGCCGCCGTTGTTGATGACGACGAGGGCGTTGCCCAGGCCATCATCAAAGCGGCGCGTACAAGTATGGGACGTGATCTGTCTGAGGCGGATATGGAGATTGTCATGGCTTTCGCTAAGCGTACATCATCGCTTGCTGCATACCGAAAGCACTTGTCCAACTACCTTGGGAGCCGAATGAACCAAGTGGCGCCCAACCTGTCTGCTCTCATCGGCGATACCGTCGGCGCGCGTCTCATCTCCAAGGCGGGCTCTTTGACCAACTTGTCAAAGTACCCTGCTTCCACTGTGCAGATTCTGGGTGCTGAAAAGGCTTTGTTCCGAGCGTAGGTTATGCAAGAAATCAGCTGCAAACTAGCAACTAACAGATATACAGGCTGAAGACCAAGGGTAACACGCCCAAGTACGGTCTCATCTACCACTCTTCCTTCATTGGTCGGACTGGTGCCAAGTCAAAGGGCAGGATTTCGCGATTCTTGGCCAACAAGTGCTCCATTGCCTCGAGAATCGACAACTTTTCGGATACGCCAACATCCAAGTTTGGCGAGGCGCTCAAGCGCCAGGTGGACGAGAGGATCGAGTTCTACGCTTCCGGTGCTCCTCCTGCCAAGAATTCAGCCGTCATGCAGGCGGCCATGAACTCTGTAATGGCTGATATTGGCATTGAGGACCCCACGGCGACAGCCGCCGAGGATGTGGTCATGGCTGACGGTATTACTGCATCGGCTACGGAGCAAGCTGTTCGCAAAGAGAAGAAGAAGGAGAAGAAGTCGAAGAAGTCGAAGGATGTGGACGCTGCCGAGGAGGTTTCGGAGAAGAAGTCGAAGAAGGACAAGAAGCGGAAACACGGCGAGGAGGAAGTGGGTGAAAAGAAGAAGAAGAAGAGCAAGGCGTGATTGGATCTGGGTAGCAGATGAGCAGTGTATCTATACTCTTGTCGCATTTACCTGTTGGCGTTATATGAAGGGATTGACTGGCGTTCTCGGCGTTTGCAGTGGATCTGTCGAGATGAAAGTGTGGAAAAGGACGAGTATTTTGGCAGTGTGGACGAGGGAGGAAGATGGTTTCGCATATGTCCCTCCGGTCTGTTGAAAAATCCAAGTCTTTTTTTTAAACGGAGAATTGATGCTGTCGTACTGCCAGTGGTGTTGTTTGAAGAAGTGATGGTGTGCCAAGATTGTGGGTTGATGGCAGGGAAGCAAAGCGTGCAGGTGGGAGGTGCTGTTGGCACCTAGAGCATGGTTATGGTTGCTGGGATGATGGGGTAGGCTTGGCAAAGCCGCAGTCGGGTCAAAGTAACGGGCCTATCATCAGCGACCATGGCATACATACGGCCCTACCTATGAGGAGGAGTGAGGATGGTGGCCCATTGCAGTCAGCCCTACATTTGCACATGCTACCTGGTTTTTTTGGCAGTGGGAATGTTGTTTGGTGTTGGAGTTTTGCCATGGACAGAGGAAGAGGAAGCAGCGAAGCCGTCAGCCTGTTGAGGCAGGCAGATGGAAGATTGAAAGCCAAGTACAGGACCGTTAGCGAACTGCTGTCTGTTAGGTAGATTTGGTATGTACAGGTTCCAGTAGAGTCCTAGTAGGTAGATAGTGGACTAGGTAAGGTAGTATGGGATAGCAGTTGGAGTAGTGCCAGCCCAAGGGCAAACGATCGTGTCGAGCCTGTGCTGTTCCTGGATCGCTGCGTCAGTGCGGGGACCCTCTTTCGCTTTTCCCGGCCAATCACCGACCCCTGCGTGAGATCCGACACGGGCCACGGAGCCACATGCATCGGACAGGGCACCAGCCTTGAGTTGACCCAGTCGGCGACACACAACAGACAACCTCCATGGACTCAGGTGGGTTGGCTGTTGTACCTACTGTCTACGTAGAACGACTGGGTGCATTCGCCACGGACCGGTAGATGTACAGGCTACCTCTTTTCGCCGTGTTTGATATGGCTACTTGTGTACTCTGGCACTCACACACCCACACACTCAGTCACTCCACTGCGCAAAACAATGGATGAATGAACGAATGAATGAGTGTCTGCTTTCTAGTCAAACCGGCGGGGTCATGCGCAAAGTCAAAAGTCAAGCAATCAACATCGGGGCGTGATTGTGCTGTGTCTCTCCAAATGAGCAAAGGGCTCTTTTTTTTCGGGGGGGGGGGGGGGGGGGGGCGGCCCCCTTGTTGCCCGGGG